TTCAATAATCTGAGCCCAATCACCTACAGTAGGTGCTATAACTGGTCTCTCATCTATGCGTAACCCAAATAGGATAGCAACATCCTGAAGAGTAATAGTACACTCTCCAGGAGGCAAGTGGAAAGTGTGCGTCTCAAGCCTCCACCTCTCAACTAGTGCATTAATCAATCCCACGTCCAGAGGAAATTGGGATAAGTTAGCCACTTCAATAAAACTGGCTAACTTTAAATGCGGAATAATTTTCTGAGGAACACTTTCTAAACCACCAGGAATATTTTGACCCTTTCTGACCCTTAACATTGGGTGATCACGTCTATCCCAAATATGTTCAGAGACATGAAAACTCTGAAATCGAAGGAGTGATGGATCCTCTGGCCCGGGATTAATAACCCTATTATGTCCCGAAGATGATGCCATCTATAAAAAAAATAAAAATAAAAACAACATATAAATAGAAATATCAACTTCATTCGTTAATAAAATTATTAGTATTTCTTGTTTAATGAAAATATGAACCTAACATAATTCTATAAAATGCTTATTATTATGCACAAATCATTATCACATTTAACAAAAATACCTAACATGTCTAATTAGAACTTTTTTTAATTTATTATAAAATTTTAATCACATTCTAATTAGACAAAAATTCTAACAAATATGTCCTACCTTTGTATAAGCATAATTTTATTCTAACAAATATGTACATACAAATATTTAAATTACAACAACTTAATTAAAAGCATAAATTTAACTAACATAACTAACAGTAATTATTTCTATCATTACATATCAAATATAATTTTATTCAAATTAAAATTTAAACATATAACTAACGTAATATCATAATTTATTTTTTATATTCACATACAAATTAGTAACTTAATTATAATATATTTAATTAATCTTATTTAATTTTAATAATTTAATCAAACATAATTTCATTTATATTTAAAAATTAAATTAAATTAAATATTTTACGTAATATAATAATTTTTTGTTTACATACAAATTACTAACATATTTATCATAATGTATAAAAAATATTTTATTAGGTTTAAAAATTCCCATAATTGAAATTTATTTAGGTATCAAAAATATTTTTTACAATTAAACCAAATATTTCTTATTATTGTTATTAAATTATTTTATTTAACTAATTTTGTATTATTCTCTAAATAAATATATAACAAATATATTATACAACATCATATTAATAATCTTTTACAAACATTTAATTAACAAATATTATTATATTATTCTTTGACTACAAAAAATATTTATAATTTAACATAATCAGTCAAACTTTATTTTTTAACCTATTAATCTAAACATAAATTAATGAAATATAATTAAAAATTAACTAAATCAATTTTACTAACCTTTGTTAAGCTTCTCTTAATTCTTTTACTACTCCCTAAACTTATAATAACCTGCAAAATAAAAGACGTTTTAAATCTTTCAGCATTTTAAAATAATAAACATAATATATAATTATATATAAATATAAATAATATCATTATCTTAAAATAAATATTTAAAAACTATAAAATCTTACTCAAAATTATGAACACCTTGCAAGCTTTTAGCAATGGAGGAGAGGAGAGACGTCGGAGGGAAGAAGAAGAAATGAAAGAACAAAGGGAAACCAAAGAGGAAGAAGGGGCAGGGACGATTACTGTGCTGCCTGCCATGTGTCTCTGCCACTGATAATGCGCAACACATACAATCTCGCCACGTGTCTCTGTCACTCCCCATCTGTTCATTTTAAATTTTATTTATTTTTATTTTGCATTTTTCGCGTTTTTAGTGGCTAAACAATTGAGTCAGATCCACGTGTCAATTCTCCATTAGTTGCGCGGCGGTGGTGGCGAAACTTCACATTTATTTCACCATTTAAATGGCAAAACCGTTGATGCTCTGACACGTGCTGCAATCTGATTAATTTTGCGTCATCAGTGACAAAAATTATTATTTAAAAAATTGAAAAAATTAATTTTGCCAACTGTTTTAGTAAAATTCGTAGTCGACGTGGCAAATTTACCCCAGACAGAGAATTAGTTTTAAAAAATATATAATGTAAGAAATAATTTTTTAATTTACAATATTTTAATAAAAAAGCCATATCCAATTAACCATGCGTTGATTGATTTTTTTTTTTTTTATATATATAAAAACACCTTCACATGCAGAGAAGTGTATTGAGACCTTCCACTCAGTATACGAAATTTGTTTTGAATTTGTATATTTATGTTAAAATGATATGTAATTATGTTAAAATTATGTATAAAAAAATATTTGAATATTTTTTTTTATCTTATACATTTTTTATTTTAAGTTATTTAATCAGATAATCCAATAATTCAAGCCCACTAACCTATTCATCTTTGGTTCAAAATTTCAAATTTTTTGCACAAATACAAATCAAATTGGCCCATTGAAACCTCTAATTAATATTGGATGAAAAAAAATTAGGAGAGAGGAAAGGAAATGGAAGAAAAATTACTATTTTTTTTTTGTAGTTTAGATGACTTGAAAGAGAAAAGAGGGAATTTTTTTTTAAGAATATTAAAATAATAAAAATAAAAATTAACTTTTTAAAGATAAAACATTATAATAAAAATAAAATTTTTTAGAATCGTTTTATTGTTTCATGATTTTTTTTTTACTTTTTTCTTATTTTTCTATTTTTTTATTCTTTATTTCATCACTCATATAAATAAAGCCTAAATTTTTTTAAAATGTAACTAAATTAAGTAAAATATATAGTTATTAAATTTTAAATATGTCCTTTTGGGCTTCCACAGAACTCAAACTGAAATCATGTTATAATTTGAGCTACACTCTTAATATAATTTAATTAAATATATTTTAAATAATAATTTTTTATTATTCAATTTTAATTAATATTTGAGAACATTCGTAAATAAGAAAAATTTATGAATAATAAAAGGTGTTGACGACGATATGAAATTATTATCGAAAATAGGGCTTATCCCAATCACACTTAAACTCATTTTCATGGCATCTTTTTCAAAGTATCTTAATCTTAAGGTTTGAGATGGGACCCACCAACTTATGGCCCACAAATGTCTGCTGCCGAACCCCAACTGAGAATTCTTTTTAACTTTTCGTAAAATTCAATTGTCTCTGTTAATAAACCATTTTTTAAAATTAATTATATTTCGAAGATAACATTTTTATTCAAACATTAATTGAGACTCGAAATAAATAAAATTTAAGTGTAATTAGTTTTAAAGTATAAAATATGCTTTTGACAATTTAATATAATAATAATAATATAATAATAAAAATAATAATAATAACTTTTTACTTTAAAATTATAAAATTTTTATTTATTAAAATTAATTCTAGTCGTTAAAAAAATAAATTTTTAATCCAGAAAGTTTATACAATTTAAATTTTGCTACGTAAAGCGTGACCTTAGTCATATTCTTTTAAGTTTTAATTGTCCCCAAGGAAAACAACGTTTTTTTTTTATTACTATTTATTCGTCATTTGGTAATCAAGAGATTTGATTTAGGTGACATTTGGTGTTTTTTTTATTTTAATTATATCACTTTCTAAAATATGGTTTTCAAGAATAAGATTCTTGAAAATTTTTATAAAATATATTTCATTGTCATTTAAGTTCTTTAAAAATATATGTTTGTTTATAACAAACTTTTATCTTTATATTTGATTTAAATAAAACATTCATATGAATATAATTTTGCTTTTATAAATACCTTCATTTATAATAAAAATTTAAATAAATGAGTTATCAAGGTAATGCCATGCAATGACAACTAAGGTGATAGTAATGATCTATGAAAATTGAATAATAATAATAATAATAATAATAATAATAATAATAATAATAATAATAATAATAGCTTTAGTAGTAGAATTAAAGATAACAAATTCTGTATGGAGTTAAAATTAAATAATGGAAGTATAATAACTTTTTAGTTTATTCGAATGAAAAAATTTTAATCGTGAAGATGAAAATAAAACTTTTAACTTTTATTCAAGAAAATCTTATGCATTATTTTATTTGCAAGTGGAAACAGAACGAACATATTTTAACGGAGAAAAAAAAGAAAAACAAATTCAATAAAAAAGAATAATATTTTGTTTGATTTATTATACTTAAAATGATTACATAAAATTATGAATAATAATTTGTTTATTTAACAAAATTTACATATTTTTAGTTTCTTTTGGTTAAATAAAACCTGTGACACATATATTAAAATTAACCTTTGTATTAAGTAATATTATTTTGTTATAGGTAGTTACACTTCTTAATTATTTTTTATAAAATATAAAATTAGTCAATTTAATTATTAATTTGAAATTTTTTATCAAATAAATTAATTTTATAAAATTTTATATAAAAATAAAAATAGTAGGTATTTTATCACATTATTTTATTTTAATGTGTATTATATTTTTAAAATATAAATAAATATTAAATTTTAAATAATATATTTATAAATTTTAAAATTATATAAAATTATTCAGTATTTAAATTAATTAAGTTTATATTTTATAAAAAATTATTACGAAATGTAAGTATTGAAGTTTAATCTTTAGTGTTAACTTATGTAAAATAAATATAGTTAATAAAAAATGAAATAAAAATTCAGTTATCAATTTACTAATATTTTAAATTTCCTTTCATGATATGTAATGTTTTATGCAATTTGTTTGAATTTAAATTTAAAAATAATAAATTTTATTTTAAAATATTTATTATATTAAAATATAAAGTATAATAAATATTTTATTTTATCATTAAAATTATTATTTTAAATGCTTAAACATAAAATAAAGTTAACAAAATCATATTTTGTACTATGTGAATGAATGATAACGGAAATTAACTTCGTTCTTTGATGACAAATTACAAAAGAAAAAGAAATGTGATAAAGAGAAAAGTGAAATAAATAAAAAATAAAAATAACATATCGAGAACACTTCAATTTTTTGGGGCTAAACCATAATAATAAACCGTAATAACAACTACAACTTCAGCCAGTGATTGCTTTGCCTTCTCACTTTATTCTCTCTCCCTTCGAAGATGGAGTTCAATTTTCTCTTTTGGAAAAGACCAGCATCCTTAATTCTTAAAAATTCTTTTACTTTCTAACTCCAGAAGAGAAAAAAAAAAAAAAAAAACAAATCTTCTGCTTTTTTTCTGCTTTTCCTCTGCACCCATTTTTTCTTAACGGAAAATTTCGATTGTTAAGGTTGTTCTATCATTGTTGCTCAACACTTTTGAGGGAAAATTTCATCTGGGGTTTTGGTGGATCAGACCCAGATCCTGTTTCTGCTTGATCCAGCTATATTGTTATTTGGTGGTGTAAAAATCCTGATAAAGAAGCAAGAGGCAAGGAGGAGCAGGTATCTTTTTTTTTTTCTTTTTTTTTTACTGTAGTTGAATAAACAGGTCAAAGTTTTTCATAATTAGGTGTTAAACAAGTGTAGAAATTTGTTGGTTGGTACAAATCAACAAGGGAATTTGCAATCTTTTACTTTTTTTTTCCTTTAAATTTAGAATATTTATTTGTTTCTCAGAATAACTGAAAATCTGGGATATGTATATTGTTATTTTGCTTGATTCCTGTTGTTTTTTATATTTGTATAATTTATGTGCTTGGTATGCTTTTGTGTTTCAGATTTGTGAATAAGAAGCACCATGGATGTTGATAAGGATTTTTTTACTGGATCCTCTGGCTTCCTTCAATTCGAGTTTTTTGTTGATAAATTTAGTAAATATGACGCAGTCTTATGATGGCTGAGACAGAAGTGATGATGAAGAGAGATTATTGTTTCATTGGATGTTGTTTCTGTCTGGGATTCAGTTAGTGCAATTGCTTGGCTAATTTGCTGATTGAGGTTGTTGCATTGTTTGATTTGAGGAGTTTGAGTAAGAAGTGTGTTTTGAAGTGCATAATATAAATCTTTTGTTGAACCAATTTGAAGTTATGATCAAGCAGATATTAAATAGGCTCCCTAGGAAGCCTTCCAAATCGGGGGATAACCGTGAAGGAGGGGGAATATCAACGTCTTCTTTAAGTGCATCAACAAGTGCTAGGAGTGGTGATTTAGCGGGCTACCGTTATGGAAATTCAACTGCTTCACCTCTTTCAGGTGTTGATTCTAATTTGAATCCTGGACTAAATCATGGTGACAAGATTGTCCAAGCTATGAATTCAAAACTGACTCTTAATGGAAGTTTGCCAGCTTCCTCCTATGAAGCTTTGCCAAGTTTTCGAGACGTTCCAAATTCAGAGAAGCAGAATTTGTTTATAAGGAAGCTGCAAATGTGTTGTGTTCTATTTGACTTCACTGACCCTACAAAGAACCTCAAAGAAAAGGAGATTAAGCGACAGACACTAGCAGAACTTGTGGATTATGTTTCTTCAGCTACTGGAAAGTTTACAGATGTGATGATGCAAGAAATCATAAAGATGGTGTCTATAAATTTGTTTCGGACATTGACTTCTCCGCCCCGAGAGAACAAAATTCTAGAAGCATTTGATGTGGATGAGGAAGAACCTTCAATGGACCCTGCATGGCCGTACTTGCAAATTGTGTATGAACTTCTTCTAAGGTTTGTCACATCACCGGAGACTGATGCAAAGTTGGCAAAAAGGTATATTGATCATTCATTTGTTCTCAGACTGTTAGACCTTTTTGATTCAGAGGACCCCAGGGAACGAGATTACTTGAAGACCGTTCTTCACCGTATATATGGAAAATTTATGGTACACCGACCATACATCAGAAAAGCAATCAACAATATATTCTACCGTTTCATTTTTGAAACAGAGAAACACAATGGGATTGCAGAACTCTTAGAAATTTTGGGAAGTATAATCAATGGGTTTGCTTTGCCGCTGAAAGAAGAGCACAAACTTTTTCTTGTGCGAGCTCTTATTCCTCTTCATAAACCAAAATTCATACCAATGTACCACCAGCAGTTATCTTACTGCATCGCACAGTTTGTGGAAAAAGACTGCAAGCTTGCTGATACTATTATACGGGGATTATTAAAATACTGGCCCATTACAAATAGTTCTAAGGAGGTTATGTTCATAGGGGAGCTAGAGGAAGTCTTGGAAGCAACTCAACCTGCAGAGTTTCAACGATGTATGGTGCCCTTGTTCCGCCAAATAAGCCGTTGCTTGAGCAGTTCACATTTCCAGGTTTGATAATTATAGTAGTTTACGCATGCTTCCACTTTCTTTTTTCTGTGATAATTTTTCAGCCCTACAAAAAGATGAAACATAAAGTTTGCTTGTTGGCTGTGCCTGACTTGACACTTAGGATGGTAGAAATTCAATGAAGACAATCACTTTCCAAATTCAATTAGTATAATATTTTTTTTTCATGCTTCACTGAGTATATGACGGATACAGGGAGCAATAGCAAAATTGTTTTCAAAGTTTTCTTAAATCTGTGTTTATAGATGCTCTCAATTTTAATTCATAATATGTACTTTAATTTTGTGACATTTACTTATGAAAATTGATGGAGGATAATGGTTAGCATGGCATTCTTGTGCTGTTTCCAATGTTTATTGCTTTCTCTTATACTGTATTTTGTTGTTCTGGTAGATTTTCAGAATGCTTGGGCAAATATTTTGATGAAAGATTTGTGATCTGTTATTTCTATGACAATTTGTTGTCTTGATGATGCTATATATGTGGTTATTTGGATAATCTGTCACAAAATTGAGTGTAATTGCGTTAAATTTTTCTGTGGGGTTTTTGTGGATTTTCATATACCGCTCTGGAAACTCGATTCTGCAGTTGACGTGACTCTTGAAAATGCAACTCATGAAAATGTTATTGTTTAGGCTGTGGAGCACTATGTTGCACATATTTCTCCACATTGGGATATTTGTTGAGAAAGAAATTATTCTCTATCTTTTGCTTTCACCTATGTTTTCAAACTTCCTAGATAAAGTGCTGTACCTAGAATACATTCATTATCCAGATATATGATAGCCATAATTGTTCTACTCAGTGTTTGTTTATGGCTTATCAAGCTTCTTGGTATAGTTTATCAAAACAATATGTTTTCAACTTATCTCAATAAGTTTCATTGTTAAATTTATGACATTAGTCATTACAACAACAACCAAGCCTTATTCCGCTGGATGAAGTTGGCTACATGGATCATATGACGTCATTGAAGTATTGAACTCGGTCAAAAATCAAATTTTCAGAAATTTAGTTAATCAAATTGTCTCTTTTAATGACTTTGTCTAAGGTTCTTTTAGGTCTCTCTTGAGCACAGTGCATATCATGTTGGAGGAACTTGTTCCTGCCACTGCTTGCACATTCTGCTGCTAAATTGTAATACGTTCAGAGAATAAACTTCTTGAATCTGTTATTGAATTCTCAGTATATGACTAAACTTGCATTTAGATAATTAGTAGTGTGAATTAGTCACTTGAGATTCCTGAATTGTGAGGCAAGATGACACTAATAATATACTGAATGCACTTTGAGTAAGTATAATTGAAAATTATACTAAAGCTGAACGAACTGGGAAATTCATGCGGTAAAACACTGTCCCCCTCCCCCCCTTGAAAGGAGAGGAGGGGAGGAGGACGTAATCACAATGGAGAAATCACGTGAGCAATGACTAGCAAATTTTAACTTATTATAGAAATTAGAAAATATGTACTTAAGTTTAAAAGATTTCAAGATATTGTTGAGAAAAAAAAGGTTGAAGTTTGTGATAGGAACCTGGCATTTTTATTAGGACTGGGGGAAGAACGCCAGTTGATAGAAACTGGATCAGAAACTAGAAAAGAAATTAATTTTATTGAATGTTCAGGGTATTCAGGAGACCTTGTTCTCTCCCCACTCTCCAGGAGTACAATCCTTGCTCAAAATGACAGATAGATCTCTCTCTCAACCTCCCTTCTTTAAATTATTTCAGCCCACTAACTAAAACTAATATATTGTAACCACTACTAATGGGTAACTAAATAATAGTCATAGCGAACTACTAATGAGGATTACCTAACAGTTTACTTTATTGATAGGATAACAAAACTTCCCTAATTTTGGGGCTTTGACAAATGGACTGCAAAATTTTATTTTGGTAATCATATTGCTCTTATATTTTAGATAATGTCTCCATAGCTTGTGTGGGGTCTTACTGGATGGTCAAGCTTAACAAGGTTTCTAAGCTGCAATGTCCTAGCGACCTTTTGATTTCATTGGTTGTTAAAAAGAAACATTATTATCCATACTTGAACATGTAGGTTTAAGGTTATCATGTAAATGTACATGATTTGCAACTGGAATCCAGAGTGTTGAAACAAATTCAAATGTTTATGCTGTTCAACCCTCTAGTTTGGATACTTTGTTAAACCTTAAGTTATATTGAAGAGTAATCCTGTGGATTCATTTTTCAGTTGAACATTTTATCTTAAGTATGAGTCTCTGGTGTTAAGCAATTGACAACATGATGTGCTATATTCTTATTTTTGGATGAAAATTTCTAAGAAATTGAAAGAGTGGTAAATGTTGGGCCATTGTTGATAACCAAAATGACTGTGCAAAAGTAAAAATTTTACTTATTAATTCTGAAAACTTCTAAGGTTGCACCCACTTCTTGCTCTGATATGCACTGCTGCATACATGCTCACAAATTTTCACTCCTCTTCCACCATAGCTTAGAATTTGGATTTTTACTCTACCAAGGGTCCATAATTTAGGGAGTTTCTAGGAATATTATGCTTATACCAAACCTAAGAATGTTGTATTCCCAACTTCACTTTCCTAAAAATAAATTGACAATCCTTGAAACAGACGCATCTTTAGACATTGTAAAATTGGAAGTAATCTTAGTAGTACACTCATTGTAGATGTCTTAAGGAAAAAGTAGTAAATGTTATGTTATGTTATGTTATACAGAATTAGCTCCTTATTTCCTGGTAGGATTACATAATAACGAAATTGGTGACATTGTGATGCATTATTCTGGATAGTGAGTAGTTTTCCTTCACTTTATTCTTATGCTCTTTCGTATGATTTGATTGCTTCTTGATTTGCAGGTTGCAGAGAGGGCTTTGTTCTTATGGAATAATGATCACATTGAGACCCTAATCAAGCAGAACCACAAGATTATACTTCCCATCGTCTTACCTGCGCTAGAGCAAAATGCACGAAACCACTGGAACCAGGCCGTCCAGAGTTTGACTATAAATGTTCGAAAAATATTCTCTGACACTGACCCTGAGTTCTATGAAGAGTGCATGATCAAATTTCGGGAAAATGAGGCACAAGAGAAGGATATAAAGTCAAAGCGTGAAGCCAGATGGAAGCGTTTGGAAGAAATGGGAGGCATGAAAGCTGCAACAAATGAACCAGTTCTGGTTTCTCCAAGAACTGGTGCCTCCCATGCCACTTCTGGCAAGGCAAGTAGAGAATGATCCTTGATTTTTGGCATTGAAGGGTTGAAAAGCAAGAGAATACAAGGGTGATTATGTGTTGCTTTTTGTTGTTACCCTTGGCCAATGCTAAAAACCAACTTGGTTTTGCAAGCATGGAATGTGTGTATATATTGGATTGCATGGACATAAATTGATGCCTCAAGCCAGAGTGTATCTGGGAATTTGCTTTCAAAAGCTGCTCTTTACAGTTTGAAGTCTTAAAAAATCTCAATTGGCTTGAGTTCAACGTTTAATCTGCTTTCATACTTCAACTTTGATGGAAGCCTGCTCCATTTTTTGTTGCCAATGTTTAGTGTTAATTTTGGTTTTTCTTCTTTTTGGTGTAGGTGAGTTGGTTGTTTTTTAAGGAAATTGGCCAGTTAGAACTTATAATGAACTGTGGTCAATGTTGTATTTGTTTCATATATGATGTGAAGGCAAATTTAGTTCATGCATTATTACTGACAAAAGTATTCAATTGATCTTTATGTTTTTTAATTATAGAACGTGGTTTTTATTCATGTAATCGTTTATATTATTGATTTTAGTTTTAGTGCTATCAACCAATTAAAATACACTGTAGATGTTATTTTTATATTAAATATTACAAATGACGATTCATGATTAAATGCATTATTGTTAATGTATTTAAATTAAAATTTATTTTATTCAAAAAATTTCATGCGAGTAATTGATAAAAAAAAAAAAATACTACAGAGGATTGATAATTTCACTACGAAAGTGGATCAATTTTAAATTATATGAAATAAGGATATATAGTTTCAAATTTTAGTTAAAATTATTAAATCAATAATAATTAACTTCCTTAATCAAATTCTTAACTTTTTTTAATAAAAACCTTTATGCATTAAATGCTTGCTTGCCGTTCTTTTAAAGCCTTTTATAGAGATTCAACTTAAACTAGTGTGTGTGGAACACTTTGAAAAGTTTATAAACATAAATTTAACTTAAAGTTACAATTAATAACGATGAAATATATGCGAATTTGTGACCATTTAAATGTGAATTCAGTCAAGGAGAAGGATTATCTTAAATAAAAATTGGATAATTAACTTGTATAAATTAGGTGAATATATAATTTTTTCACTAACTTTTCTTCTTTTTCATTACACATCATTTATGCTTCTTCTTTTAACATATTTTCAACTATCTAATTCTAGTCACAAAAAATTCTTGAAAAGCATTTACATTGGCTATGTTTTTTTTTTTTTTCTATTACATTGACTGTGTTTTAATTGATTTAAAAAGTAAATTTTACATAAGTTAATTAATAACTAATCTAAAAACTTGTCTTTTAAATGTTAAAATTGTCACTGCACTCTTTTTACATCAGTTATCTTTAAAACTTGTCTTTTTCTTGTAAAGTCTAGAGAATAAGCTTTGATTCTTCTTCCTTTTAGAGTGTACATGTTTGAAAAACACCTAAAAATAATAATGAATATTTGAAGCTGAAATGAGAGACTAAGTACTAAAGAAACTAAATCTTAAGGTTATATTTGGAAAAAAAAAATTCAAAGTTTATAAAATATTAAATTAACGAGAAATGCTTAAAGTGATAGTTAAGTATGATAAGAAAATTTATGAATTTTCATTTAAAATTATTTTTATTTAACATAAAACCTATTTAATTAAAATTATATTGTATTTTAAGAACACTCTCTTTAGTATCCAAATATATGTAATATAGTAATTTTGAATTACTTTATCCAAATACAACTTAAGGTAAGTTTGATTTTCTTTGAACCTAATTTTTTATTCTCTAATTCTATATATTTTATTCATTAAGGAATTTTTAGAAAGATAATTTAGTTTAAAGTGACTAAAGAGCAATAGTTAGACATGAAAGTTAGGGAGTGAAATTTATTGACATTGAGTAGAACTCAAGTTATGCCAAATGATAAGTTTTGTAATCAAAGTATCATATAGCAATGCATTACTAATTTACAAACTAGGTGTATAAATGAAGTGTTTGTGAAATGCTTTTGGAATTATAAAGTATAGAGATATTAAGGAATTAATTATTAAATATAAATGTGATAAATGACTTTTTGTCAAGGGAAGTAAGAATTTCTTTCAATTTGTATTGAAATGATTTAAGAATCAACTCTCAATTATTAAAGTAAATTAAGAAAGTGGACAACTCAAGTAAAAAGTGATGAATTGAAAATTTGTTTTCATAAAATTAAAATTCATGATTAATGATTTTGAATAAGTATATATTGTCATACATAAATATTAAATTTATGTTACGTAATGATTATGAGAATTGGATTTGTGATGTATTATGATAAGGCTAGAAAAATATTTGAAAAAGTCTAATATGAAACCTGATGGTCAATGTTAATGTGATAAGGTTAATAAGACTTAATGCACGTCTGATCCAATCAAATATAAATTATAAAAATTGAATTTAAAAAATTTAAATCTGAAAAAATCGAAAATTGAATAAATTAAAAATCACAAAAACTATTTTTCATTAAATTAAATTGGATTTAAGATATATTTATAAGTCAATCTAATCCAATTTGAACTGAATTTATATGTGTATAATTAATATCTCACTAATACTTTTAAGATCATATATGAAATATATATATATATATATATATATATATAATATTTAATTACTTTTTTATGATTTTATTTTAAAATTATATTATATAATTTTCATGATTGTATATTCAAAATAATTTTTATACAAATGAAATTTGTATAAAAATAATTAGAAAAAATATTAAATAATTTATTTATTATTTTAATTAAATTAAAAGTAAAATTATACAAACAAATTATCTAATTTATTTTAAATCGCTTTTCATTGAATAGATCGGATTTATTTATTTTTCTAATCGATGCAAACGAAACTATACTGTAAGTTTATGATAAGATTGAATGACTTTTTGTCAAAAAGTTAATCTAATCTAATATCCAACTACTCATACGTGTGAGAAAGAGAAATGCTAAAAATACATATATAACATTTTTTTTATATATTTTTTCTAGTCTTTTTTTATAAGGTATCTTCTAGAAATTTTTTATAATTCTTTTTAAGGCACTTTATAGTTTTTATATAGTATTTATTATTATTATTATTTACCTTCAATAAATGAAGTTAGTGATCTAAATTTAAATTAAAAAGATAAATATGCATAGAAATGGATAAATGAGAAATTTTATTGATAGGCTAATAAACATATTGGTGCCAACAATATGATTAGACAATATTAAGCAATTAGAAATTTGGTGTAAGGAGAAAGGCCAAGCAGGTTTTTGATATTAAATTTTAAATAGCAAAAACATTGAGAGAAGCAGAGAACAAAAATAAAAAATAAAATAGATGGCAATATAAAATAAATTAAAATATTTCATTAGCATTATATATATATATATATATATATATATATATATTTTATTTTATTTTTTGTTCATATACTTGTTACTCAGCACTTATGTACATATTTTAAAATATAATTAGTTTGATTAATTATTATGATAAAAATTAATTTTATTAAAATGTTCCTATTAAAAATGTTAGATTTATTACAATGATTAGTTTTAAAATTATTTTAGTTGTTAGTTAAAAATTATCCTTGATAAATAAAGATATTATTAAAAAATACATATTTTTTGATAATTTAAAGTAACAAATAATTTAAAATAAAATAATATTCAAGTGACAATTAATATAAAAAATGAGAACATTTATTTTAATTTTTTATTAATAATGAATTAATATTATTAAAATAAGTAAATTTCTTAGAATAATTTAAAATATATTATATGACTATTTTAAATTTAATAAATTTTAAAATAGTAAATGTTATATTATCAAAATAGATATATAATGTAAAAATATATAATTAAAAAATACTTGAGAGGATATATAAATAAATTATAAAATACTTTAGTTTAAAAATATTTAAAAAATCAGTGTTATTAAAAATCGAAAATACTTGGCACCCACAAAGAAATATGAAAAATTGAAAATGTCCTCGAAATGGATGTACGACACCTGCCCGCACAGGATCACAACTCTGACGCCACGACACTTCCACGTGGCACAGATAGGTAGATCCCCGACACACATGCAAATAATGCTAACAACAACACCACCACACCCGAAAACTCACATTCAAATAATTAAAAAATAATAATAATAATAATAAAAAAGAGAATGTAATTTGTTTAAAAAAAAAAAAGAAAAAGAAAAAGAAAAATGAAAGCCCCTCTCGCTTTCTCTTTCTCCTCCTTCTCCTCTCTTGGCTCTCACAAACATCGTCGAAACACAAACGAAGCTTCAAATTAAAACCATTATCTGAAGCCTACCAACCAAACAATTAAAAACCCTAATTCATGTAATTATCAGCTTAATCCCAATCCAATTTCCAGTTAAGCAATGAAATTATCGCAATTCGCGGTTACCGCTCGAGTTTTCTAGAAAGAGAGAGCGATGCCGAGCGTCACCGTGAAGCTCTACAGCGTGTTCTTCAAGTTTCTCTTGAAAAACCGTTTGCAGAACCGGATTCAAGCCCCAGCCGAAGTATCCCACCCGTTTGGCGTCACCACCCGACCCGACGAATCCGTAACCGCTGCTAACCCTTCTTTCTCCGACGGCGTTGCCACTAAAGATATCCACATCGACCCCTTCACCTCTCTCTCCGTTCGAATTTTCCTTCCCGAATCAGCACTCGCCCCTCCCGAACCTGACTTCAAACCTCCCCCTCCCAAGCCTAACTCCAAACCTCACAGACCGCCGCACCTCGATACGACGCCGCAGCGGAGAAACAGTTACGGTCCCTCGGTTTTGTCGCCGAGAGAAGAGAAATCGCGGAGGAACAGTGTCGGTGACGCCGCGGGTTTGAATTCGATGGCCAACGGCGCGTACCGGGGCTACGCGCCAGCGATGGATAATCGTCGGAGAAAATTGCCGGTGATTTTGCAGTTTCACGGCGGTGGTTGGGTGAGTGGGAGCAACGATTCCGTCGCCAATGATTTCTTCTGCCGGCGGATCGCAAAGCTCTGTGACGCGATTGTCGTCGCCGTCGGGTACCGGCTCGCGCCGGAGAGTCGGTACCCGGCGGCGATGGAGGACGGTTTGAAGGTGTTGAATTGGTTGGCGAAACAGGCGAATTTGGCGGAGTGTGGTAAATCGTTGGGGGTGAAGAAATTGGAGAGTCTTCGGAAGGATATTGTTGTTGATTGCTTTGGAGCTTCGATGGTTGAGCCTTGGTTAGCTGCTCATGGAAATCCATCAAGGTTGCAATTTGAATTTGTTTTTGGCATCTCTTTTTGTTTGATTTATGTCCTAGTCTTGCTGTTGTAGATTGATTTGTTCATGCAGTTGGTAATGTAGATATTGATTAGATATTGATTTGTTTCATTTTTTCCTTTGTTGTCTGTTTAAAATGTAGATATTGATTAGAGTGTAGAGTAATGTAGTGATTAGTGAATTGGTCAAGGGATCCCTGAGTTAAGGAGGAGTGGAGTTTTTGAACTTGATGGAAGCGAGTTCGAGTTGGGACTTTGATCTGATGTTGATTGCAATGAAGTAGTGATTGACTAAGTGTGGTTTAGCATTCTGTCTAGAGTCATTCTTGCACTTTGTTTTACATATTTGATTAGAGCAAGTTTTGGATTTGAAGCGAAAAATATGTATTCAGCCTCATTTTACTGGTTAACATGTACCCCTTCTGGAGTGTTCTCTAATAAAATCACATCTTCATGTGTTGAACATATAGATTCAGTTCATATAATATGATTTGGGATTCTCAGTTGCTGCAGAGACTAGTGAGAGCGTTCTGTTATGTCATATGTGTGATGAAATTCATTTTTTTTTTTAATGTTTTTGTGTAGAAGTTACGGTATGTTATAATTGATGTGGTAGTCAAAATGCATCATGATCGCTTGCCTTTGTCCTTTCGTGCTTATTAAATTATTTAGGTTTTAATGAAATTAAACTTCTTACTTGTGTATAGTTGTTTTGCTATTCTTTCCTTGGTAGAAGAACACATTTGCCCATCTCCATGTCAAACTGGGTTGATTGGTGTCTATAGGTGTAAGCTTCATTTTTCATTTTATCTAAAGAGATTATGCCCAATGACGTGAGTTCTTTCACTTTAAGATTGTGTCTTTGGCTAATTAGCCCAGTTCTTATAACTTAACATTCTAGATGTGCTGAAAAACATGGAGGCGTTGAGAGAGAGGAGGTACAGTGATGATGGCATGCAGAAAATTCTTCTTGGGGATGTCAGTTGATGGAAGCAGACGTCATCCTGATCTATAGGATGGAAAATTTAGAGGGTTGTGATGATAAAGGAAAATGTCTTGTGGACCTAAGGTGCTTGAACAATAGTTTATGTGAACCTTTTTCTCCTTGGACTCAATCGTTTTTGGTTTTGGTTTTGGTCAATGATTTCTTTATAATTTGCCCGATATTTATTGTCAATATCAGATTTTTTCAATTTCCAAATTTTCATTTTGCTGTATTTGCTAGATTTTTTTTATTTTTAGTTCCTGTGCTTTCATATATGTACATTAATTAATAACATCCTATTCATTCCCTTGGTTCTTTCGAGTTTCTATTTTTTTTTTTGTTAAAAGACATATTTGAAAGCTACAGAAATTTGTGTGAATCCTAGGTGATACCAGTTTAATCCAATTTATGCATAAAGGGATAAAACTAACAATCCCACATTACTATCAATTAGTCTACATGGGCTTATAATGAAGCCTAATATATTGCTTCACAGCCTTCACTTGAAGCTTCTGCCATGTTCTCATTTGGAGGAATCTCTACTAACCATTTTGGAAATTAGAATCATGTCTTTCTGGGTCTTTTTTACTTGCGGTTGTAGTGCTCAGTTTCTCCTTCTTGGTTTTGGCTGAGAATCTCATATCTTGTATAATCATTTCTAGTATGTCTGCAAACATACCTCAATTTTCTCTTCCTAAATAAATAGATTGCTTGATTGACTTGCTTTAACAACCCCAACTTTTATACCATGAAACTTTGTTTGAGAATCATTCTTATTCTGGTTAATTTACGTGTTCTTAATATTCTATTTTTGTTCAAATTTTTCTGGAATTTCAAATAGTAAATTAATTTTGAAGCAATTATTAGGCAATTGGCATCAAAGTGATTCGGATCAGTTAAGAGGACACCTCTTTTGTTTGATTATTGCATGATCTGTGATTTTGCAAGATTTTACATACCTCCTTTGGATGTGGACACATTATGAGATGATAGGCCTTTTCAAAACTCATCTTGTTTGAAAGCCAAAAATAAATGTTGACAGCTTAAGTTGAAGGGTAACGCTTTTGTAGATAACATGTATTGTCTGGTACCTTGATTTTTTCTTGTCAAGACTATGCACTCCACTAGTTCAGTGATTAATCTTTTCATTTTTTCTTGATATTGAATCAGGTGTGTTCTTCTTGGTGTGAGTTGTGGTGCAAATATTGCAGACTATGTGGCTAGGAAAGCTGTAGAAGCAGGCAAACTTCTGGACCCTGTCAAGGTGGTGGCGCAGGTCCTGATGTATCCATTTTTTGTAGGAAGTGTGCCCACTCGTTCTGAAATAAAGTTGTCAAACTCTTACTTTTATGACAAAGCTATGTGTATGCTAGCATGGAAAATATTCCTACCTGAGGAAGAGTTTAACCTGGACCATCCAGCCGCCAATCCTCTAGTCCCAGGTCAGGGTCCTCCTTTAAAGCTGATGCCTCCAACATTGACAGTGGTGGCTGAACATGACTGGATGAGGGACCGGGCCATTGCATACTCAGAGGAGCTTAGGAAGGTGAATGTTGATGCACCTGTTTATGAGTATAAGGATGCAGTCCATGAATTTGCAACACTTGACATACTACTCAAAAGCCCTCAGGCCCAGGCTTGTGCAGAGGACATTGCCATCTGGGTCAAGAAATATATTTCGCTTCGGGGTCATGAATTCTCATATTGAGTAGGACATTCCAGGGATTAAGATGGTCAGTGAGAAAATCTTTCGCCATTTTTGAAATTATCTTAAGGTCACCTTCTGCTACCAGTAGACCTGGGGGATATGTGATTATATTACACGATTTATGTTGATGCTTGACAAGGTCTTGCTGTCCTAGTTGTTGACCGGTTCCATCACTTCCCTGTTCCCTCCACCTGTCAGTTCTTGTTGTAAGATAGAGTTGTTTGAGATCGGGATTAGTTGAGTCAGTGAGATGCATTTACCTCATGCACACCACATTTGGGGGTCCCTGTTCCATTTTTTCTTGTGTATTATGATGTACTATTTCTCATGAAAAGATATAAAATTTAGTGCTCTATTCTTTTAGCATTAGGATCACTATGAGTTCATAGTTAAATTTTGTACAAGAGACGAGTTGTTGCTTCTTCGATAAGATTAAGATTTCAGATTAAAAAAAAGAATTCCCCATGAGATACCTCTTAGGGATGATCTAGGATGGAGATATGTAGTTTCTTTAATAATATTTACCAAAAGCTAAGGCCAACTTTGCTTAGTTTACTTTGTTGGCCACAATGTTTGGCTTCAATTAAGGACAATTGTTTCATCATTATCTTCTTGTTGATTGCTAACTTTTAGTCGCACAATCCCACTATAAATATGCCATGATCTTCACAGAATTGCCTCGGCTATTATCACAAATATTGAGGTAATTGCCCGCACATTCCTCCCCTTGAATTTCTTGGGGTAGGGAACCATGTAGAGGTTCAGTCCAGATAGAGAACCTCTCATGAAACAAAAAGATGGGATCAGCTGTTTTTTGTGGTTATAACTTGAAACCATCTTCATACCCGAGCCGAGCCGAACTGCTTTGGCTTGTTGGTCTCAATATTGGAAGCACTTTGAGGGAAGGGAGCCACTCTGACCCATTGGGGTATTGTCAGATTGATAAATCTGTCATATCTTCTGGGCTTGTTTGCATAGGTGGCATCTCTGCTAACTGTCTTGTAACCATGAGTTCACTTTGACGTGACTATGGTTGCGGTTAGGTCTTATGTTACTTTCAAATGTCAAGCAATGTTGTGAAACAATTGAAGATAGATGGGTGTACATTATTTATCGTGTATCACATTTTACACCTTGTTTGAGGAAGGGGCAGAAATATGATGTATTGAAATGTATGTTTATATTGCTCTATTATCCGTATGTGTGTGCATAATGGAACAAGTTCCTCTAGAATGGTATTATTTCTAATCTCTAAAGATTATATTCACTTGAAGTTTTAGTAATATCTGTACCAGCGCTTAAGATAGCACAATGAAAATGAATATATTTACACCAAACTTAAATATTTATATTATTTAATATTTTTTAATAAAATACAAGATTATTAATTTAATATCGAATCATCTTATATTATTTTCTTAATTTTATATATTTAATTTAGACAATTATAGTTATATTATTCAAAATTTGATATTTGTTTATATTTTAAAAATATATTATTTGTTAAAATAAAACAATGTGATGAAATATTTAATAATTTTTTTATAAAATTGATATATATTATAAGAATATTAATGATTGGATTGATTAATCTTACATTTTATAAAAAATAAAAAAATCATTAGGTAGTATAAGTGTAGAAACTTGACACCTAGTGTTGACGTATTCTAATTTATATATAATTAAGTAGGTGTCGAAACTTTAATACTTATATCATTTAATAACATTTATTAATAATAAATGTGATCAATCTAACTATTAAATCATCCTATGTTATCTTGGTAATCATGTATATCAAAATTCACATATTTTAGATATTTATTGGTATGTTATCTAAAATTTGATGTTTATTTGTATTTTAAAAATTTATTATTTGTTAAAATAAAGTAATGTGATGAAAGATTTTTTATTTTTGCTTTTATATGAAATTTTATAATGGTTGAATTAGTTAATTTTAAATTCAATGAAAATTTATTTTAAAAACACATTATTCATTAAAACAAAATAATGTGAGAGTACTTATTAGTTTTGCTTTTATATAAAATTTTTATAACTGTTAGATTAATTAATGTTGTATTATATGAAAAGTTATTAAGTGGTGTAAGGATTGAAATTTGATACCTAATGTCAAGATCTACACTCATATATAATTTAAGAAAGTTCAAATTTAATAAAAAATTAATATAAAAATTGATATAATAAATTTTACTATTAAATTTATTGAAATAAGTTAGATATATTTCATATTAAAAAATTATTAAAAAAAAAAACTTATACAAGTTATAAATTATTTTTATAAACTCTTTTAAATATTATTATAAACGAACACGATGGAGGAGTAGATGAATATAAACAAATTATATTTTTTCACTGCCTCCTTAATTGGTTAAACTCCAATCCATGGATGTAGAAAGCATGTGATTGAAGAGAAATTCGATAAGAGTTTAATCAAACTAAAGACATTTGACAATGCCTCATATAAATAGCGTACAAGTATCAAACTAAACTAGTGAATTCATATACTCATTATTCACTGAAAGTAAAATCAATCTTAACTATATATATGTTTCACCAAGAATCGCAGTGAATCCATTCATAGAAAATATATGTTTGTGAAAAGTAAATGTATATATTTAATTATTTTTAAATGTATTTAGGGTTAATTTAATATAATTTTAGATTCAAATATTAATTAAGTGTAGCATTACGAACTTGGTATTAAGTGGCACCATCATGGTCACGCACGAAAAGCTATAACAACTCAGAAATTTTAATATTGTTTTATAATCCTACAATGTTTTTAATAAGAGATAGTCATGTTCAACATATTTATTATGATAATTAAAATTATAAATAAATTGATTTTTACCAATTCCACGTGAATGCTATTATGTTGTGAGAGTTGACTTTTAGTTTTTTACCAATTCCACATGAATGCGATCATCCCGTGAGAGTTGTTGTTTGATTATATGAGTCCTTGAAATTCTCCCTAAAGCAATGGAATTTTTTGGTCCATGACACACAAAAACTACAACTATTTCGCTTCACAAACATTCACTCAACTTCCATTATATCCTATATATATATATATCCACGTTATCATTTCACATTCATCCTCTGCATTCATATTCACTGCCATCTATTGCCCTCTTTTCTTCATATCTCATAAACTAGAGTAACAGAGATCATGGGTCAGAAGATCAAGATTGGCATCAATGGTACTCTAATAAAGCCATTTCCTTTTTTTTTTTTTGTTGGATTTGTGTCTCAACTTTGTTCAATGTACACAGCTTAATTAGTGTCTATCTAGTTTAAAGTTTAATAAAATTGATTTTTAACCATTGAATATTTTTTAAATATATGTGCAGGCTGAATCACATTTTTGTTGAAATGTGTGTTTATTTTGAAAAGTGTACGAATTGATTCTCCAACTATAAAACAAGCAAGCCCTTAAATGTTTATTTAATAACCTTTTTTATGTAAATGTTTATGCTAGAAATGTGTGTTTTTTTATTAAAAGTTACGATGCATCAGTGTCTCTAAATGCCAAAAAATGAATATCTCCTTTGTCACTTTACAATGTAAAAAACAAACTCTGATGTTTTATATCTTGGTAATAATAACATGTAACATGTGTGTGCGTGCTTACTTGTGATGATGAAGGATTTGGAAGAATTGGGCGTTTGGTCGCCAGGGTGGCATTGCAGAGAGATGACGTGGAGCTTGTTGCCATTAATGATCCTTTCATCACAACTGATTACATGGTAAATAAAGTGATGATGTATAGTTCTGCATTGTAGTGGTTGAACATGCATGGATCTTGCAAACAGAGTGTTTAATTGCATTATGTTAATTTGATAATTGGAATTTTAACTTTGGTCAAATAAAAAGGCAAATGTAACATGATAATGGACTGAAGATATTATCTTATTTTGTTTGATAAGTGTTGATAAAAATGCATGGGTGAATATACGATAATACCAACTTAATTGCCTATTTTGTTGGGTATGCAAATTGCAACAAAGAAATATTCATGTTTCAAATTTGGCTTTTATAATATATCCATTATGTATTCATTCTAGTAACCAAACGTTAGTGAGTTTTTTCCATTAGTAATTTGGAAATGTTTCTTGCAGACATACATGTTCAAGTATGATACTGTTCATGGGCAATGGAAAAACCGTGAGATTAAGATTAAGGACAGCAACACCCTTCTATTTGGTGAAACTCCTGTGACTGTTTTTGGTATGAGGTAATATTTCTAATTCTATATATTAAGTAATATGGATCATGTGGATACAATTTGACTCACACAAGAAGCAATTTCTGAGGCTAAAATTGTTTTCATATTTTATTAGGAACCCAGAGGAGATTCCATGGGGTAAGGCTGGAGCTGAATTTGTTGTGGAGTCTACTGGAGTCTTCACTGATAAAGACAAAGCAGCTGCTCATTTGAAGGTTTGTTATTAAGATTTCATATCACAGGGCGTTGTTAGTCAATTATAAATGTGATTGCCAATAACTACATTTTGTGGTCATGTTCTTTGATATTAGGGTGGTGCAAAGAAGGTTATTATTTCTGCCCCAAGCAAGGATGCCCCAATGTTTGTTGTTGGTGTCAATGAGAAGGAATACAAGTCTGATATTAATATTGTCTCCAATGCTAGCTGCACAACCAACTGTCTTGCTCCACTTGCAAAGGTAATTAGACCCTTTGTCCTATAATTGCTTAAAGTTGGAAAGAAAATTTCACATTATATAAAGAAAAACAAAATCTCAAGTTATCTCTTTGAAATATTTTCAGGTTATCCATGACAAATTTGGTATTGTTGAAGGCCTCATGAGCACTGTTCACTCCATGACTGGTAAGTTAGTAATGTTATGGATTCTTATTAGTTTCATTTCACATGATTCATTGTTTAATCGACTTGTCTTTCTATGCTACATAGCTACTCAAAAGACTGTTGATGGACCATCAATGAAGGACTGGAGAGGAGGAAGAGCTGCTTCAGTGAACATCATTCCTAGTAGCACTGGGGCTGCTAAGGTATCTAACATATATGAATTTATATGCACACCCCTTTTTCTCTCTTTGTTCAGATGATTTCTAGGTCTAATTGCATTAATCTATAGTTGACCTTGGAGCAAATAGGTCCTGTGAATGCAAGTCATCTTATTTGATCAGTGGATTTGTTATATTGAAAGTCTTTATTTGGAAACACACGTCACAAAACTTGTAAACGTGGTTCTAATGCAGATGTTAGAACTAATAGCATTGAAGTAAATGTGGATCCATATGCACTTTTCTAGTTTTTATTATCTTTAGATATATATTATTTTGCATCTAAACAAGTCCTTTCTGGCAAATAACTCAGTCTTTGTTGTGTAACTGTGTAGGCTGTTGGTAAGGTGCTGCCAGCACTGAACAATAAGTTGACAGGAATGTCTTTCAGAGTTCCAACTGTAGATGTTTCAGTGGTCGATCTCACTGTTAGACTTGAGAAGGGAGCTAGCTATGATGAGATTAAAGCTGCTATCAAGTGAGAATAAACATTTTTTCCCCTAAGGAATAAGGGTGTCTTTTTTTTACTTTTTCAGGTTGTAATTGCTATGATGAGTCTTCATCTCATGTCTTCAAATTTTTCACAGGGAAGCATCTGAGGGAAGTTTGAAAGGAATCCTTGGTTACACTGAGGATGATGTTGTGTCTACTGATTTTGTGGGTGACAGCAGGTGATGATGGTTATATAGTAATTAAATTTGCATGCCATCATCATGCATTATGCACCTAAGATGGTCAATTATTTAGTTTTAGATTAGGTAGTGAAATTTAGCAAAGGATTGACAATTAGATGTGTCTTGGTCTATTGGTACCTTGGTTAGATTATATTGCGTCATTTTCCATCAATAAGGCTTTAGTGTAGTGTTGCTTACCATGTGATCCAATATATGTTGGCAGGTCAAGCATTTTTGATGCAAAGGCTGGAATTTCGTTGAATAACAATTTTGTGAAACTTGTCTCTTGGTATGACAATGAATGGGGCTACAGGTAAGACAAATCTCTATCTATACCTTTCCATTTTATTTTTACAAGTGATTAGTGTTTCATTTTTCCAAAATCTATGTGCTACAAGAAGCAAAACTAAACTTACTAAGATATGTCAACAAAAAAGTTGATACTGGAATTATTAATGGCACCCTTTTTACATTTGAGTCATTTAATACATTATTGAATCTTGTGCAAAAAAATAAAATGACACATCCCAGCAGCAATTGGACTATAACTCTAAGATGTGCCATCAAGTTCTCATAGTAAAAATGGGTTTTAACTCATAATTTCAATTGCAATGTTGTTTTCTTGATTGCAGCACACGTGTGGTTGACTTGATCCGACACATGGCCTCAGTTTAAGTGAGCTTCAAGGAGTTTGGTCCAAACTCAGCTTCTATATTTTGCATTAGCATCAATTAGTATTTGGAATAATGTTCCCTTTTTGGAGGCTGCACTCAAAATACAGGAACTTATTTATTTTTGTTGAGGAAAGTGTTAAATGGTAACTGTTAAGTCACCATTTTCTTTAATTGTATCAAATTTTGAGAGATTTTACTTGGTGTTACTATTATTAATAATAAGATCATTATTTCTTGCTTTTTGTTATTTGTGATGCATTTTTTTTGTTGTTCTTTGTTATAAAACATTTTCTATTTTAGGAGATAAAAACTAAAGAACTTAATAAAATTATCAAAGTAAAGAAAGAAAAGAGATCAAAGTTACCATCTCATCTTCCTTGTGGCCGTTTTGTAGATATTCGTATGATCCCTTTTTCATCATATAAGGGATTTCGAACCCTCAGAAAACTAATATCATAATAAGGATTGTATTAATATATGCACTAAAAAATCCAATTTGGCGACATTTTATAGTCTTGAGATAATTTCAATGCTTTACAACATTGTGACAACAGGAATATTATTATTATTATTAAAGTTTTGACTACCAAACTAGATCCAACCTATCCTTGATTAGAGTGGTTCAATTCAGGTTATAAATTTAAAATTAACTAAATCAAAGTCAATTCAACCCATTTTATTTTAATTAATTTGGAAGGTTTTTTCCTAAACACAATCCAACTGAGCATGAGGCATGAACACCCTACCCTTAATGGCTTGAATCAAACTAGAAGACACTACTTAGGGCAAAAACAATGACAGCTCTGTAACCCTTGAAATCTATGGCTTAATAAAATTATTTTTTATTGCAGGTAATTTTAAAATAATTTAATAAAATTAAAAGTAAATTCAAAAGTCCTAATAAATATTAAATTAAAACATCAATTATATTGAAATTGGGGTTTTCAATAAACATTAAAGTGTTGATCGATTGCCATTCCTACCCAAATGTAAAAGATGGCCAACGAATGAATAAGATTAAGGGAATATTTGTGTGCATGAACCAAACAAATTTCGGAGCTTTTTTTTTTTAATAAATCTCTTTACGTAATTGTGCTGGGGGAGGATTCATGTATGTTCATACAAATGAAGTCCTAGAAAATGGAAATTGATATCTTACAATCTATTATTATTATTATTATTATTATTATTATTATTATTATTATTATTTTATTACCATCCATTTATTGAGCATTCGACTTAACTTGTATAATACAAAATGAAATTTATGTGAATTATAATATAATATTTAAATTTTCATCTCTATCAAATTTTTTTAAAGATTTTAATTTAAAAACTGTAACATGATAACTTAAAATGCTATTTAAAAATACCAAAGATATAACGCTATTAATGACATGTCTTGTCCATATTATATTTTAGTTGAATCATATCAGTAAAGTTAGATTTATATAAATAAATAATAAAATAAATTAATAAATTACTAATAAAAATAAGATAAAAAAATAGTTTTTGAAAAATCAAAATAAAAATGTTATAAGACAAAAACTTTATTTAATCTTATCATAAGCCAGAGCACCATTTTTGTGGTTTCACTTATCTTTAGATGTTTTAAAACACGACGTAGGCACAGTTTGAACCATTCAAATTGTCGTAAGATGTTGAATTTTGAATTTAACAAAGTCAACTAACAAAATTGACCTTAATAATGTGATGAATGATGAACCTTTCCAGCCATTGAGGGTCAGAGTTTTATAATTAGTAAAGAGTGAAATTTTACTAATTATGTGCCCAGCAATCACTAGTATAAGATCATAGTCGTAAAGAGTGCATCTTATGGATGCAACTCCAAGCAAAGCTGTCGATGCACTCAAGAACATATATATATATATATATATATATATATATATATATATATATATATATCATATTATGTTTATAAAAACTTATAATATCTATATTAATAGTTTAATCTTGGTTGAATAACATAGTATAAGGGCATTCATTAACATTTTTCTTAGTTTAATAACGTGGTTAATTTGTTTTCAAATGTTTGTGACACTAATGTCTCCTACTGAGGAGAATGGTGGGTTCTGAATTAGTCAGTTCTTTCTGCGCAGTTTATTAATCTTTGCTTTTTCTCCTCATTTTAGGGTCTTTATTGGCATTTAATCATTTGGTCAAAAGCTCTTAAGATTAACAATTTACTAACACTTTGGCTAATCCTACGCTCTAGTTTTCACTTTTTACAATGTTGTCATGCGTGCAAAATCGTACATCAAGTACGTTATCTCATTCCTCAACATTTTTTATTACTTGTGAAAAAAATCACAAGTGAAATGCATGGTACGGGCAATAAAGATATCATAGTGATAGCACATAGATATTTACTATACCACCTTTACTTTCTTAACGATTAAAATAAAGAATAACAATAGATATATAAAAGTGATAATATTCATTTCTTAAGACTTTTTATCACTTAAAATATATATTGTTTCTTCATAAATTTGATTGTAAACGAGGAAGAAGAGATGTTATGGTTTGTAACTTAAGAATACAACGATTATTCATAAAATTTATTATGAAAAGAAAAAAAATAAGAGATAGTAATAGTTTTTGTAATAAACCTTTGTTAAAAGAAAAAAAAAACATTTTAAAAATTTTAATAACATGTCTTAGAAAATAGAAATTCAAAAAGTTGGAAGTAGTAACACTAAGGGCAATCTTTAACGAGGTTGTATAGCCAATTCCTTGTCTTGATCTTTGGAAAGGTGAAAACTATGTGTAGCGATGTCTACACTACAAAATGAGTTACATACTAAACATACCTTTCCAGCTAACATATTTAATGTGTTAAAAATTATATATTAAATAGTAATTTTTCATTAAAAAATTATAACATTTAATCAGATCAACATATTAAATCTTATAATATTTTGTAATTTTTAATAAATATTTAAGATATATATAAATTCTTATTTAGAAAAACTGTTTAGATATTACTATAAACAAATATGTTTTGATTGCATTGTATAGTTTTGTAGTGTGTTATTGATTACCAATTTTCTTAATTATGAAGGTTCCGGTTCCCTAGTGAATCCATGGAAGAATTTGAGGAAACTACAATATAATGGTGAAGGCATCTATGTACCTAAAGATAAAATGAGGGTTGCATACAAGGACAAAGCATGCCAGCCTTTTAGGGACCAGGGAATCCCATCAAACTCAATATTTTTTAATGGTGCTTACATGGAATGCTATGAATAAGAGAAGATTTTGGCACTAAATAATGGAATTTGTCAACAAGGTGGATTCACATCTAGTTCTTTCTTGCCCTCGAAAAATTTCCTTGTTGAGCACAAACTCTTTCTCTTGTCTCAATAAGGGTGGTGATGACCATCATTTTATAATGACAATCCCTTCATGCTTTTATATCTTTCAACTAAAGTGCTTTCCCTCCAATCATTTATCACCCCTCTCAAAGGACACCTTGCATTTATTTAAATGTGTGAATGAACTGGCAGCATCTTTGCTTGAACCTTAAGCTCCTTTTTAAAGTGTTCTCCTTTTGTGTTACACTTAATTTGGCAAAGGTAAAGGTTCCAAAATGGGAAGACAACCTTGTTGTGATAAGGTTGGTTTGAAGAGAGGTCCATGGACTATTGAGGAAGATCACAAGCTTATGAATTTCATTCTCAACAATGGTATCCATTGTTGGAGAACAGTTCCCAAGCTAGCAGGTATTTTGTGAAAATTTTGTTCACAAATTATATGACTTTGCTTTAAAGGTGTGTATTTGAATTAGTGCATATTTTTTTGGTGAAGGCCTATTAAGATGTGGAAAGAGCTGCAGATTGAGATGGATTAATTATCTTAGGCCAGACCTCAAGAGAGGTGGCTTTACTGAAATGGAAGAGGATCAAATTATACAGCTACATTCATGTCTTGGTAACAGGTATATTATGACATGCTTATGAATTTTCTTTGCACCAAAAAAAAAAAACTGAAAATGGTATGGTTTTTGGATAGTGTGTATGTGAAGAAAAAGCCTTTGAAATGATTATGGTTCTAAAAGGACGTAGTTTCTTCTAACACAAAGAAACACATTTTCAGGTGGTCTAAGATAGCTGCACATTTTCCAGGGAGGACAGACAATGAAATCAAGAACCATTGGAACACAAAAATCAAGAAGAGGTTGAAGCTCCTTGGTTTGGACCCTGTGACCCTGAAGCCAATTGAGCATAAGGAACTGTTTGTTGATGACAAAAATAAGACAAGCCTTCAGCCAAACACATCAAAAGGTTCTGAACAAGGTGTGGAGAATAAGTCGTTGGACATGCATGACACAATAAAAATGCCAAAAACAGAAGGAAAAATGGAAGAAAACAAGGTGAATTGGGATGATGATACCATTGGAATTTTTAACAATTATGAAATGCTGTGCTCACAATTGGACTTGGGATTATGGATGAGTCAAGAAACCAAAACCAGTACTAGTTCTTATAGTAGTTCTTCTTTCTCACTTGATGATTCTAGCAACATTTTGGTGGGTGAATCTCCTTGCCTTCAGGAAAATTCTTTACAACAATGGGTTGGTGGTTTTGATTCTCTCTCATGGGATAGCTTCAGTCCTCTTGAGAAAGATATTCTCTTCTTGGAAAATAGGCATTAAGCATAACCACCTCTTAAAATTTACCCTTTTTTACAATCTCTCAAGCAATACAATGTCATAAAATTTATGCTTTTGTGAATTTGATTCTATGTTTAATGTGAATTGGATATTTAGTTTAGTTATGTATTTGTTCCTTCACCTCACCTTGGATTGAACTCCTGTAAGATACCCCAAAATCCTACCACATGTGGGGCTGAAGAATGTAGAGTTGATAAGATCATCACTTTTTCTTGTCTCCTATGTAACTGACGGTTTTATTAAAGTCGTCACACACATCATCATGAAATGTCCAAGGTTTTCCTTGCTTGGTCACTTTTTGCTCCTTGTCATGGTCAATAATTTTTGTTCTTCCCTTGGTTTCCTTTGAGTTGAGAAAGTAGTAATCTTTATTCTTCTAACCTTCATAATTAAAAATTTGTTGGGAAAAGTTGATGACTAGGGCAACATCATAGGTGCCTTATACTTTGCACTAGGACATGATGAAACATGTCATTGTTCTTCATATTTTGGCCACTTTTGTAGCTTTATTTTTCATATTTTCGCCAGTGCTTGATTTCGATTTCTTTTACTGATGTAATTTAAAAACAAAAAAATTGAACAAACTCTTAATTAATTATATCATCATTTACTAGTTATCAAAAATCAAAAGTGATGAATTTAGAGAAATTAAAGACCAAGACTAATAAAAAATTGGAAAGATTACAAAAAAATTCTCAAAAATGTCAAAACATATTCATGTTCATAAGACAAGATAGCTACCTGAATCCCTATATGGCATATGAACACAGATTTTCACTGCCAAGACTGAAGAAGAAATTGAAACTAACAATGTATCTGAATTTAATTAAATGTGTATATCTGAAATTGAAACCATTTTTTAAAATTTTTATTAAAAACTGAATCTAACATTTCCACCATGAGTTTAGATGTGTGAACACTATTGAGAAGAAACAAAATTTAATGTTTGATAGCAGGGCTGATAACACTATCATACTAGTTTTTCTTTTTTGTTCTGAGTTCTATGATCACCAGATACACTTTTATATTTATAGTTGAGTATAGAAGATATTTTGACTTGCAAAATAATTATTAGTTAATTTTTTATGATAAAAAAATAAAAATCAATGTTCACAAAATTTATCTCAAGACTAAAATAGGTTCATAAAATAACTATACTTATTATAACCAAGAAAATGGAAATAAGAAACATGAAAAAAGATATGCAGAACTAGCTATTGCAGTATTGAGAGGAATTTCATCAAACAAAAGATATTTCAAGCTGTTCTATTTTTTATTTACGGTTTAGAAAGTAAGGAAATTCATCTTATCAGCACAAAAATAAAATAAAATAAAATTCTATGATGCATTGTGGTCCAATTTTGTTTGCATAATCTATATATCAAACAAATTATAAAATTATTTAAATCTCAGTTATTAATTTTTAATCAATATTTATAAAATTAAATTAAAAGGGTAAACATAATTTACACTCGTATTATTTGGAATCAAGTCCTATGTCATTGACATATACCAAAATTACAATTAATTCATTTGATGGTTCACCAATTTAGTGGGCAAGATTAATTGCCTTAAGAAAATTCGTGAGGTTAGTTTTTTATTTATAGTTAAAAATGATTCAACATCAAATTTTGTTTTTCATAATTCAATTTCAAAAGTTAACTCATAAGGTATTGTTTTAATAAACTCTAATGTTACATGGGATCTTAACAATTTTCTTAATAAATATGTATTAACATTATAATCTCAGTTTTCAATTTTTTAAAACTTCAGTTAAGAAACATACACCAATTGGCATTCAACACATTACTCATGGAGTATTTAGCCTTTGATAACTGCCTAGTGCACACCCTCTTTCCATTTTCCAATAGCCTTTCAACACAAACCATATTACAATGATTATTGATTAGAATTTTCACAGCCCAAACTTGAATCCAAGTGATCAAACAACAACTTTAATAAAAATCTTATCATTAGATTACATGATTTCACTGGGTTACATGTATCACATGAATCCAAATGATGAAAATTACCCAAAAAACCCAACAACTATATGAAAATTCCACTTATAAGGAGTATTTTGTCTCACATGTTTATTCCAAATCAACCGTTGTTAATCAATCTGTGGTGCAAGATGGGTAAGTGTAGAGTGAGACATTGAATTTTTGTATTTGTGGTTCCAATTTTGAGCTTTTTGCATATTTTAATATCGATAACTACAAAGCAAGGCCCAAGCCTAAATGCGAGGAACTGATGTCCAACAACACAATAATACTAAACGATACCTAATGATTATGACTCATTTTTTAGGTATTGGGATAATGAGCTAACAAAATAGGTCCAATATGCTAATTTAAATTTCTTCAGAGCAATATTTAAAGTTTACATTTTTTTTATTTAAATTTCACCAAAACTCATATATTTGAATTTTATATAAAATTTAAATTGTACCAAGTATTTATTTATTTATTTATTTATTTTGTTATTGTATGTAATTCAACAAAGGACTCTTTGTTAGACTAGTGACTCCTTAACTCAATACTTTGGCTAAATCAATAACTCAAGTTTAATAATTATGGTTAAAGTTTATTTCAGACTCAATAAATAATAAGGAGTAGGATGTTTAAATATAAGTGAGATTTGTATTGTATCTTACATGAATTTTCTTTAGTAATATCAAATTTAATAAAGATTATGTTATTAACAAAATGAGTATTATTTTTAAAATAATAATTTATTTGTTTATTTAATTGATGTAATTTTACATCAATTTAAAATAATAATAATAATAATAGTAATTCATGTTATTCTTGAATAACTTTAATAAAAATGATTTTACTTAAAAACCTTTTAGAAATATTGAATTTCATCATCTCATCGTTAAATTAATTTTTAAAAATAAATAAGAAAAATATTATACAAATAAAAAATGTAATTAATAATAACAGGGAAATGTGAAGCTAATGTTAAACGAGGATGCTTCGTTGGTTAACAAGAAGGTGACAGCGAATGAGGTACAGAAGCGAGTGGTGGAAGAAAGATACTAAAAATGCCTTTTCCTTTGCGCAACAAACCGAAATTTTTCAAAGCGTTGAACATTGACATTGGTAATGGTTCAGTGCAACCCTTGCCAACTACACTCGCACTTCCAAGATTCGTCCCCATATTGATCATTACTTTATTCAATTATTGAACTCAATAATTATTATTTATTTTATTTAATCTGACAAAACATAGAACAGTACCTTCCTCTTCTCGCATCCCATCTCATGTATTATTGTATTTTTGTTACCAAATCTTATCAAGTGTGATAATAGATTAATAAATCTTTTATTTTTATTTCTTAACTAATGTTTTTAGAGTTAATTAATTAGCATTTAATTATTTTTTTTATCTTATAATATAAAGCTTCCAATGTTGACTTGAGCACAGCAAGCTCTGCCTCTGTGTGGAGAGATAAGAGGCAGGAAATGAAATTCAGATCTTTGAGGCAATACCCATTTGAAATCTAACCTTGAAATTGAGTTTGAATGGCGAAAGTTTGGATTTTGATGGTGATGGTGGTTGTGGGTGTGATTGGCATTGGGAGTACTGAAGGGGCAAGGAAGCATCCATGGAGGATCCACACTCTCTTCTCCGTGGAATGTCAGAACTACTTCGATTGGCAAACGGTGGGGCTTATGAACAGTTATAGGAAGGCCAAGCAACCTGGACCCATCACTCGTCTCCTTAGTTGCACTGATGAAGAGAAGAAGAATTACAAAGGCATGCATTTGGCACCAACCTTTGAGGTTCCCTCAATGAGTAGACACCCCAAAACTGGTGACTGGTAAAATTAATAATGTGAATAATTATAATCAGTGTTGCAATTTGCGAAGTTAATTTTTTTTCTTTTAAGAATTTGGACTGTGAAATGTAGATTGGTTTGTGTGGATTTTTTGTGAAGTGATGTTGATGACCACATTGGCTTTGGTTTTGTTTGTACAGTGTTAGTTAGTAGTTACCTACTGGCTCATTTTCTATTCCTGAGAAATTAATATATCTACTATGCAGGTACCCTGCTATAAACAAACCTGCTGGGGTTGTACACTGGCTCAAACATAGTAGGGATGCAAAAAATGTTGATTGGGTTGTCATTCTGGATGCAGACATGATAATCCGGGGCCCAATTTTACCTTGGGAACTTGGTGCTGAGAAAGGAAGACCTGTTGCAGCATACTATGGGTATTCATTGATTTCTTCTTTGTTTCTTATTCACTTTATTCACTCCCTTTCCTTTAGTGATTAGTGTGAAAATCTAGATTTTTACCCATCACTTCCATTTCAGCTATTTTTGTTAGGATGCTAATGGACTAGAACATTTTACATTTGGGAATTAACAATTTGTGAAAATATGGAACTTCTGGATGCCTAAACCTTTTATATTTACCTTGGCCTTAATGTATTCACTTTACGATACAAATCAGTGAATAGGGCTTTGTTAAAGCACAAGCTAGAGAGCTTTGCTTGAACTTATGAAACTTAATTAGATCTTTTAAATACGACATGTAGTGTTTTATATTAGTGTTTCTTTCGATTGCTCACCATTGAAACTTGCTATATATCTAAATTCATTCCCTAGGTACTTAATAGGTTGTGACAATATTTTGGCTCAACTGCACACAAAACACCCAGAACTGTGTGACAAAGTTGGTGGGCTTTTGGCCTTTCATATAGATGACCTGCGAGCTTTTGCGCCCTTGTGGCTTTCGAAAACAGAAGAAGTACGGGAAGATAGGGCGCACTGGTCAACAAACATAACTGGTGACATCTATGGGAAAGGATGGATCAGTGAGATGTATGGATACTCTTTTGGTGCTGCAGAAGTGAGTTCAATGCCTTAACATTACTTTTTATTTCAGGCATTATAAACTATTTTCTTCCTATAGCTCTGCACCCCAAACACCTAGCATTTCCTTAGAGTGGTGCTTAACTATTTAACTTTCACTAATTGTAGTGCATTTTTCCTTCTTCTTTCTATCTTCCCCTTTGGGTTCTCCCCATTTGTTCACAGATTGGACTTCGGCACAAGATCAATGATAACTTAATGATCTACCCAGGTTATGTTCCTCGAGAGGGAATCGAGCCTGTTCTTCTTCACTATGGGCTGCCATTTAGTGTTGGGAATTGGTCATTTAATAAACTGGCTCACCATGATGATGGAATTGTTTATGAATGTAACCGGCTCTTTCCAGAACCTCCTTATCCCAGAGAGGTATGTAAACAAGTATACTTAAACAAGGAAACTTGTGTGGTGGTACAAAAAACAGGTTCTTTTTCCCATGGTGTACTCATCTTGTGCTAGAACAAATTCCTATGTTGTAGAAAGGCATGTGTATTTATAGTACACTAATACTTTGTCATTTGTTAATAAGAAAACATATATTCCCACGGCTTACACATTTATAATACTCAGCAATTTAACTTGATGTTTTAGTCTAAATAATGAATTTATGCACATAAATATGGCATCAGGTTTTTCCAAGTTTAGCTGCAATTTGAAAGTATCTTATTGCAGGTAAGGCAGTTAGAACTTGATCCTAATCGAAGGCGAGGACTGTTTCTAAGCATAGAGTGCATAAACATTATAAATGAAGGTCTTTTATTACAACATGCAGTAAATGGTTGCCCTAAACCAACATGGTCTAAATACTTGAGCTTTTTGAAAAGCAAAGCTTTTGCTGAACTAACACAGCCAAAGTATGTGACTCCTGCTACTTTACAAATGATGGAGGATATCAAAGAAGAACATGTTGATCATGATGCTGGAAAGCCACACCCCAAAATTCACACAGTTTTTTCCACAGAATGCTCAACATATTTTGATTGGCAGACTGTAGGATTGATGCACAGTTTCCGTATGAGTAGACAGCCTGGAAATATCACTAGACTTCTCAGCTGTTCTGATGAAGACTTAAGGCAATATAAGGGCCATGATCTGGCTCCCACGCATTATGTCCCTTCTATGAGTCGACATCCATTAACAGGAGATTGGTAATTGTATTTTTGTCTATGTTTCAATTTCAGTTGCATTATGTTTATTTTTAGCTTAGTTGGTTGTCATTTCTGCACTGACATTTAATTATCGATTGGAACAAAGTGGTTAACATTATTAGTAGTTGCAAAATCAATCATGGAACATGCAAAGGACTAACATTTGAAGCATCATTCATTTGAAGATAACTAAAGCTAATTTATATAAGAGCACTCTTGATGAGCTCATCCCCGTGATTAATGATGATCTATCAGTTGTATCTGAAAGTATGTTTATCATGGTCAAACTAGTTATCTACATTGGGTTTTTTTTCTTTTTTTTCTTTTTTTTTAATTGCTTTTATTTCCTTTGATTTCATTTCTGCTTAACCTCTGATTTTTAATTTTGAAACCAAGTGACTTGTATTTATCAATATTTTGGCATGCTTTCTGACCTTTTAATACCAGACATATCCCATTAAAATTATTATTTAAACAGTTGAAGTGCTTAACCAACTCTACCTATGGCCTCATAGCCAGTCCCAAGCCCAGGTAAAAGATGAGGGTTGTGTTAGGCCTTTGGCAGTTAATGTAAAACTTGTCAAAACCTTTTACATGGAGTTGAAGTGCCTACCGCTTTCCACTGCTTCATGTGGCTGAGTTATTTAGACTAGGTTAAAAAATGATATTCCGTGTGTTCTATTTTAGGTATCCAGCTATTAATAAACCAGCTGCCATCCTTCACTGGCTCAATCATGCAAATATTGATGCTGAGTTCATAGTGATTCTTGATGCTGATATGATCTTGAGAGGCCCAATCACACCATGGGAATTCAAAGCTGCTCGTGGCCATCCAATTTCAACTCCCTATGAGTAAGCCTGATGAATTTGATATATGTTCATGAGGCCTGTTATTGTTGACTTAAATGCAATGTTGTGACTGCAGTTTGCATGGGCAGTATATACATATTTCTGCTGATGTCTCTTATCTTGCATACTCAGTATGATGACTCATTTGTATTTATTTTAATCTTTGTATGCTAGCTACCTTATTGGCTGTGACAATGAGCTTGCGAAATTACATACTAGTCATCCTGAGGCTTGTGACAAGGTTGGTGGTGTAATCATTATGCATATTGATGATCTCCGGAAATTTGCTTTGCTATGGCTGCATAAAACTGAGGAGGTTCGAGCAGATAGAGCTCACTATGCAAGAAATATAACAGGAGACATATATGAATCTGGTTGGATTAGTGAGATGTATGGTTACTCTTTCGGTGCAGCAGAGGTATTGTTTTTACATTCTTTTCATGTATATCACCTAACGAGTTGATATATGATTATGGGTGACTACTAGTGTAGAGATATAACCTATTTCCATTCCAGAACTTGCCTTTGCAGCATTTTCAATTGATCTTGGCACAAACCAAGAAAATCCCAATATTCAATTATAGCTTTTTGAATTTCTCTACTTAGTTCGTTTCACTTTTATGAATTTTTTTCCTTTTTCACACACTAGTGAAGCACACTCCTGTGAAACAAACACACAAATTGAACTTGGGTTTGGTGTTTTGGATGGCTTAAAAAAGAATTCACGTAGGATATATTGGAAGGATACGAGTAGATCTCCACCAAAGAAAGCCTTAAAACTAAACACAAACTGTTGTGGGTAAATGGACCTTTTATTTTAATCTTGTAGGAAGAGCTAAAACCTGTTTATTTAGGTAAAGGTTGGCTACAGCATCTATCCACAGCAAGCTCCTCCAACTCAAGGAGGAGGGCCTTGCTTTTTGGATCACATATGCCTTCCAAGAGTAGGGGCATGGCTGCAGCCATGACCGCTAGATTGATAGAAGACAAAAAGACTACTAGGATTCCTTGCTGTTGTGCCTTCTTAGTTTTTAGTATCAATATGTTGAATTCCTGACACACTTTGATAATGTTCTGTCAGGAATAGTTAGATCTATCTCCCATTCTCCCTTTGCTTGGTCAAATGGAGAGAGAAGCATACTATTTAATGGCATAGGGTAAATAAAGCAGGAGATGAAAAACTAAAGTTTCAGCTCATTTAATTTATTTAATTCTCATTCCACCAAGTGTAATTGGCAAAAGGCAGTTTACCTTAGAAAAATATTCTTCCATTCTAGTTTACCTTGATCCTGTTAAGCACAGGCACCATTTCTGTCCCATGTTCTTGGGTTAGTTGCATGTCTGATGTGCCTCCACACAATGTCCAATTTGTTATGTTCTGGGTTCCAATATAGCAAGACACAACACTGAAATGTCTTGGACCAGCAACCATTTAAAAGTTGAGAATAAGAAAATGAAAAACACATACAGGTTGGTCTGTTTTAAACTGCTCGGCAGTTTTTAATTATAGAAAGGAGAATCAGGCAGGATTGTTTGAGCAATTTTTGTATGAGCATAGTACCTACAGGCACAACCAATCAAAAGCTTAAGATGTATTAACTAATATTAAGAGAAATTCATGTTAAGTTATTTTAATATTATCTTGATCTTTTGATTGGTTGTGCCTATAGGCACTATGTTAACATAGGAATTGCTTGAAGCTTATATATCTATTATATTAAAGCATAAGCCAGTAAAAAGTAAAATCCAAAGTAGTCAGGTATGACAAAGCATGCCTGGTACATAAGCAAATACAAACCACGTAAGGTTGAACCGATCTGTTATCAAGTGACAATTGTTCCATCTATTACGAAAGGAAATTTGGATTTAGGGCCTTATTTATTTATATAGGAAGTATTTTCTCCTTTATGTGCATTCTATTATTGTCTAGTATTCTCGAGAGAGTGAATGAAATTAAATCTTGTGGCAAATTCTGCAAAAAAATCTGTGCATATATATTGCTTTATGGATCCTTGCACCTATAAATAAAATGCTTCTTTCTCTATATGGTGAAGCAAAGGAAGATGAATCTAACTATCACAAAAAAATCTGTGCATATATATTGCTTTATGGATCCTTGCACCTATAAATAAAATGCTTCTTTCTCTATACGGTGAAGCAAAGGGAGATGAATCTAACTATCACAGAAAAAAGATTTTCTCATATTCCCTTAGAAATTCAAAACAATGATATTCAGAAACTTGAATGGTTGGGAAACCCCGGCTTCCTTTTGGTAACACCTGGCCCTCTGTTGATCTAACTATGGTTGCATCATCTCCCGGTTGCTCTTAAAAATCAAAGAAAGAAATAAGCATTAGCTCTTTGTACAAGATATTAAGATTAAAATAAATTGTCTAAATTGCTTTAGTTGTGTACTTGCATGTATATTGTTTCTTATGTTTAAATTATAATGTTATACTATTGTTTTGTAAAACAAATGTGCTAACTAGAGATTTGGCCAAAATCAAACCATAGGTTCAGTTCGATTGATTTACATGCACTTCACTAATGTGTATAGTAAGAAAAGAAAGGATCCTAATCATAGTTCATATAAGTGAGATCATTTAAATAGAGATGTTTGAAGAATCTATGATTGATGCCTTAGATTTGTTTGGTTTATGTCCATAGAAGATCTCCAAGGAGCTATACATTTCTGCTTTAGTTGATCTTTAACATAGTATTAGAGCCTCTTCACCATTATGGGCTCAATATCTGTTGCCTTTATTCTTGATTATTAAATAGTATTTCATTATAGGCTAATTGGATTGTTAATTCTTTCTTCCTAAACAACTCTTGCATCAGGGTCATATTCAATAGTTGACCCAGAAATTTTGCTTAGTGGAGGTAATTTTAATACTAATTATGAAACAACAAAAAAGAAAAACTAATTCTTTTAGGTAAAATTTTTGGTACCTTTTGCAACGGAGAGGGTATAGTACCCTCTTTTATACGTAGAACAATCCTCATTGTTAATTTTATGTTAATAAGTAGTGCGGTTAGTGGTTTAGCTAAAAAAAGACGTTAATACCCTCTAATCTTTAAGATATTAAAAGAATTATAACCATTAATACCCTCTTAAGTTCACGGGGTACCATAGCAAGCACCATTCTTTTATTGCATACATATAAACATATAATTATTAAAATTATATTTACAAATTATAATTACTTCTTGACACATCTTTATGTTTTAAAAATGTTAATTTTCTTTCTATAAGAAATTTATCAATCATCAGGACATAATAACAAATATACCTTATTATTTGTCTATTCTAGTAAAAGCTACATTTTTCTATTAAAGATCATTATATTTAAACATACTACATAATATCCTGAAAAAAAATCTTATGACCTTGGATTTAAACAAATACTTCCTTCGTCTAAAATGTATTTAAATAAATGCATAAAATTAAAGATTTGGACTATGAAAAATTTGCAGTGCTACATCAATAAAATATCTAATTACAATGCATAATAACAAATGTATAATATAAATGGTAAGTATCATAAATTACTAGTCTTTGACTTTATTATAATTACAATTTTTAGAGCTTTTCGTATGGGAGAGCAAGCTTTTAAGTATACTATTTGCTTTCTATGCAGACTAATCTGAGAAATGAAATGAGACATTTAGAGCAATTATTATTATGAGTTAGTGTGAAGGAGCTAATTGATCCTGTATAGATGCAGGGGTATAGTATCTCTTGAATATAAAATCATTAGAGTATTCACCTAATAGCTTATGCTTTTAGGAGAGTTAGTCTTTGACATGGTAATAGAACCTCTATGACCAACTGGTGTATAGAGGTATATTAGAGATATTATAACAAATTTTGGGCTTCACTTTTGGGTTGAGTTGTTCTAGACACACAGAATTGTGGACTAGAGTGAGCATCAATTTTCATTCCCTAATCATTATCATGCTGCTTTGTGTTTTTGTATTTCATGGTGTATCACGCTACAGAATTTCTTATCTCCACTTTAAAGTATGAAAAAAATTTCTCTGCTTAACAAGTAATGTTATTGATGCAGTTGAAATTAAAGCATACTATAAACAATGAGATACTGATATACCCTGGATATGTTCCTGTACCGGGTGTCAAATATAGAGTTTTTCATTATGGATTGAGATTCAGCGTTGGGAATTGGAGCTTTGACAAAGCAGACTGGCGCAATGTTGACATGGTAAACCAATGCTGGGCCAAGTTTCCAGATCCACCAGACTCCTCAACACTTGATCCATCTAATGAGGAGAATTTACAGCGCGACCTACTAAGCATAGAATGTGCTATGACGTTGAATGAGGCACTGAATCTGCATCACCAGAAAAAGTGTTCAAGTCATAATTCCTTGTTGACATCAAAAGATGAGGAGAGAATAGAGGAAAGTGGAGTTTCAAGGGAAGTTGACAACATAGATGGAAATATTGATTCAATAAGCAATAACATCTCAACCAATCGATCGGAGGAATCGGCAAGGGTTCATAAAGATCCGAATGAGATGCCTAGTTCTTTCAGGTTTTGGGTGATATTCTTGTGGGCATTTTCTGGACTAGGTTTCTTGGTTGTGATTTTTTTGGTTTATTCAGGTCATAAAAGAAGAGGAACAAGGTCAAAACATAGTAGAAGGAGAAGAAGCTTGCATTCAGGATTCATGGAAACGAATGGCCGTGACCGGCATAGCCGTGGTCTTGATGTTCCTCTGTAACCATTGTGCTCCTTTTCAATTTCTTGGTGTAAAGCTAGTTGCTCAGAATTTCAAGACTACCATGCAAAGATCACAAAATTGAAGGTTCTTAGAAGTCATATTTCTTGAGGGAGCCTATGTGACTTCATTCATGCAAAGGAAGCCATCATGACACCCTTCAAGAGGCCTCCCATTTTTTCATATTGTCTATGAATATTAATGACACAGAAATTTGCGGAGGGAAAATAATCTTCAGTTCTTTTATTTGAGATTGCTTGTACTATTTTGTGCCCATAAATCAGAAGATCTTAGTAATGTAGAACAAGAAATTGGATTATTATCCTGCAGAATAGGCGAGTGAAATTTTGTATACTTTTAATTTTCTTTTTTGCCTTGTGATGACGAAGGAATTTTTCTTACTGCTGACATATTATGTCTTTGATGTAACATTTTTAACGATCTTAACCCTCAACACTTGCTGTAAAGACACTTACATAATAAAATGGGGTTACTTGCCAGCATATATTCATTCCCTTGGTACTTCTAAGTATGTTTCAGATATTTTGCCTGAATAATGTTTTTGATTTTACTAGACATCATATAAGAATTAGATCATTTAATAGAATTGATTGGATTGTATGGCTAACGGTGTTAGCCCTGAATCCTTATGTAATTTTGTATCCGCAAATTCATTATTGTTATAGGATTTTTTAGTTAATAATACAAAAGAAAAAATAATGCAAGAAAAAATTTTGAACTATAATGAAATAATTGTTTTTGACAAATAAAAAACTAAATTTACATGAAATTATGAAGTTTTGTTTGGGTTACTTCAATAATAGTTTTTATTTTTGTTCTTGAGATGGTTAATGTTGTGTAGGCGTATTTTAATTTTTGAAAATTAAAAACTTTAAGTTAGTCTTTGACTTTCATCTCTATCAGATATTTTAGTTCATAGACCCGACACTGTTAACAGATATAATATAGTAGATACAATATCATTTTGCTCAATTCATATTTTTTATCTATTGCATTTTCTATCTCATCAATGAATTGATCTAATTCTTCCTTATCACTATTAACAAAAGTTTTTGACTTTTTCAAACCTTTAGTAAGTTCTATTATTGATTGTTTGCCTTCACATAATACATAAAGACTTCCTTCTTTCTTGTTAATGACATTGAAGAATGTGGAAGCAATTCTCTGGATGCTAGCCATGGCAACTGGATCTTTAGGATTTACTCCCATGTGTTAAAGTTGCTATTCTATTTTCTTGATGTTTAACTTATGAGATTCAAGAGCTTTCTCAAATCTTGCCTTGAATAGAACCTTATACAACAACATGAACAAATATATTACTTCCAATAGTATCAAGTTCTTTGTATAGTAGGTACATAACCATGAAGCAAATTGATGATTTTTTCAAAGGAGTTAGTAGATTTGGGCAGTCAAGCCTGAAATAGCTATATTTTCACAGAGGTTATCAAATTGATTTTAGGGTTCATTGTGAGAGAAAATGGAAATTACTATAGTTATCACTTAGAGTTCTTCAAAGTCTTTTCTCATAACATTTAACGTGAATTGTTAGTGTTTTGTTATTGTTTATTAATGATTTTAAGGTTTAGGAACTAAAATGTCTGTCAGAAGTAGAAGAAGTCAAGGATTAACGTGAAATTTTTAATATTTTAAGGACTAAAACACTTAATGCTAACAATATCAAAGACAAAAATGAGAGTTTGATTATAGTTCTTTTCATTTTCCTTTTTCTCTAATATGGAAAAGAAGATGATTTTACAATAAAAGATTAATGAAATCAGTGGTGTTAGCTAATAACTTGGTCAAGGAACTAATTATTAAGTCACTACATGAATAAGTGGGTTTACTTTGAATCTCATCCATCAACTACTTTTTTTTATATATAATTCATAATTTGTGTTCTAGCATTATTTTTTTATACATTAATTGGCATTGTATATATTAGGAGGTAAATGAGAAGAAGTGGCAAAGAATGTGAAGAGCAATTTTGGAGAGGAAGAGTCAATTCTTATCTTATCTAAATTTGAAGATTCAAAAATTAATATCCGAAATTAGTTTGATTTGAGTCAGTTCACTAACTTTTTTTTTTTTTTTTTTTTATCGATTCTCATATAGAAATATAGAAATAGTTGGTATTATAAACGTCATTAATCCAATTTTCAGTCTGACTAATCAGTCATGAAACCAAAACCAAAAAAATAAAAAATAAAAAAGGACAAAATTAAAACAAAACAAAGAGTTAAGAGACCAGTCTACTAATTTAGCTTATTACTATTATTAGTATAAAAGTGAAAATTAATTTATAATTTTTTTATAATCTTCATCTATTTTACTTATTGTTTAATGCTTTAATAAAATATTATTAAATAACATATATATATATATATATATATATATACATATATTTAAAAGTCAAATAAATTCTATAAATTTATATTTGTGGTTACACTAAATTAGCAAATTGAACAACAATAATCCGTATTTTATTCATTTTAATTTAGAAAAATTTATTAAACATTGTTATGGATTAATATATTTAATATAGTAAGTTTATAATTATCTAGTATGTATATCCATTTATGGTATGTTATTTTATGTGTAATATCTTTTATTAATTTTGTCAATTTAATCTTTAAATAAAGTTATATGTTGATGTTAATTATGTATATCAAGTTTTGAAATATGTAATTTTATAATTAATCTTTAATCATATCAAGTTACATGTAATATTTTAAAATAAATATTAAAATAAAGTTACTTAATAAATTATTGATTAATTTTTTAATTGTATAATTTTTAATAAACTTAATATATTAAAAAAGAACTATAAATTCAATAGTTGAATTTAAAAATAAATATTTTAAATAATTATTAAACTATTGAAGTATTCATGAAATAATTTGATTCTCGTTCTTTAAATATTATTATTTTTATGTAAAGATTTTTATTTTTGTGTGATGTAAACTATTGATAAAATGATATGATATTTTAAGAATAAATTACATTTAATATAAAAAAAATTATTAGCAAAGTCAAATGTACGTAAGTAATTAATGAAATAATTTCATTTGAATTACAATTAACTATGATTATTGTGATTTGTGACTTAAGTTGAAGAATAAACTTTTAAATAATAAAAATTCTATAATTTTATAACATCTATGGATTGTACTAATTTTCAATACTAATGTCTAATTTATTAGGCCTATAATTTCTCCACTCTTAGTCGATTTATTATTATATTGTCTTAAAAGACCCATTTTAGGCATACTCACATGGGCCTCACCTTATGTGATTTGTGGGTACCTCTATCGTAAGAATAAAAACATGTATGTTCATATCGATTTTGACTTTGTAAATTGATATTTGATTGTAATACCCTTTATTGATAATTTGATTACACTTTTAATCATTACATCACGTGATTCCTTTCTTGCTTTCTTTATTAACCTGTTCTTTGAGTTTTATTATTTTTTGGTAATTATTGGCGCCTTTGATGTTAATTTTATGTTTTATGAAGCTTTGAGTGTCTAATAACAAAACATGAAATTTAATTCGTTGTGGCTTAGATTCAATGTTGGATATTTTCTCAGGGTTTATAGTAGTAATGATTTTGTTTAACTTAAAGATTACAATTATCTATCTGATTTACTTATGCTTTCTAAATTCTAGTTCAACAATGAGTTGCAAGATAATAATGTATCAAAATAAATAGGAAAAAAATGTATAAAGATGTTCATAATTTTTATTTTATGTTGAATATTTCATGAAGTTCAATTTAGAATTGGTTGGTATGTCAAATTCATTGAAAGGTTGTAGCTAGTTCTCTTTATATAACATCTATGTCAAATAGTTGAATAATGACATTCTATCATTTTCAAATTACCAACCATGGACAAACATCATTGTTATTTTGGCTGGTTAATGTTGCAACTACCAGTGGTTCAACCTGTTACATCTTCACCATCTACAACTTCAACAACTACCTACTTTCTCTTGGCAATGTTGAGGCTTCTAAAAGCATGTACATCCTTCATTCTTGTCTGTTCCTATTGCTACAAACATGCATATAAAGGACATGCTAATTTCTTAGGTTCAACAAGACAAACATTAATTTGAATTGAAGCTTCACCAAATTGAGGCCTTGTTTGTTGAAAATTTGATGTTTATACTTCCTAATAAAAACACATTCTAATAAAAATAGAATGATTTTAAATTCTTCAACTTTTTATATGTACAAATTCTTTCACTTACTAAGTAAAAATATATTTTTATATTTAAAATAATAAATACATAATTTTTTTAATTTAATACTTATTTTATAAAATAATACGATGATTATTAACAAAACATGTAAAAGAATACAGCAAAGTTCATAAAAATATATAGTTTATATTAATTTATGTATTCATACCAATCATATTTAATAACTCAAAATTACTTTTATCATAATTCTACTTAACTTTAAACTAATATTCTTTTTAACAGGGTATTGCTAATTAGAATCTGAAATAAATCAATTAAAGAATCAAAAGTGGAATTTTCTTATTAAAAATTCCTTTAAACTGCCTTAAAAGTTACATGAGGTGGTGCATTAATAATACTTTTAAACAAAGATTTTCATGGTTTATTTCTTAACCTATATTCTTAAAGTACTGATTAACATTTCTTTCTAATATATGTTTATAAACCTTAATTAAAAATTATAAAATTTAATATATTAAAAATATTAAATAATGTAAATTTTAGTAAAGTTTATTATTTATTATTATATGTCCAATTTACTTTAAAGAACCCCTTGAGCTAAATAACTAGCCAGACAAGGCAGGCAATAATAAAAAAATTAACAAAGGAACGTTGGAGATTTTCAGGGTGTTTTCAAAATGTGGGTCCAAACGAAGTTGAAAAAAGATTAAGGCTCCTCCTCCAAACACTGTATTAGGGGACCCAACACTTGGAAACTAAAAAAGATTGCACGACACTAAACCTTTTATAATCTGTTAAAGTTGTCTGCTTTTCCACATCATCATCAACCAACCAAACAATGCCTTCAGATTTTGAATTTCAAATTTGAATGTGTCCTACAAACAAACGGCCACATAAAATATAATAATAATAATAATAGCACTAACAAATGAATCGTAATAATAATTGTGGTAAAGTTTGGATCTTTTGAAGTTTCAACGTTGTAGTGAAACATGGGTGACTCAACCTGTCTCATGCAACAACCATTCTGTTATGCTTCCGGCATTTCCAATGAAGCCAATGAGGTCAGTTCATTTAGCAGGCACTTCTGTTTCCAGATTTTGTATTATTGGATCCTTAAACCCCATCAAATAATTTCAATTTGTTTTTTTCCTTAGTCTTTTTCTTGGTCATGCATGTAATTTTATGAAACCATTTGAATGAAATAAAAAAAAAAAAATTGCATTTTTAGTTGGAGTTCGTTCCTGCTTTCCACTCAGTGAATTGCATGCAGTTTTGGGGGTACCCCTTGTAATGATTTTTCAAGGACTTGGGTAAAGGTTATAGTTTGGATTTAGATAGTGCAATATGAGTTGCAACAACAAATAAAGTGATTGGGAAAATCATAATTGAGTTGTATATGAACTGATTTTGGGTCCTAAATCATAGTTTGAGGAGTAAAAGTGAACAGAAGTTGCCTATCTTTGACGGGTTGTGAGTTGGATTACCATATCATAATGCATTAAAGCTTTATTTTATGTTCTATGAATGTTTTTTAGCCAATAACTACTTGTGATTCATGTAGCAAAACTCATGTACTGGGATGAAGCTATTGTTGTAGTTGTTTGAAGGCTCACCTTGAACAAACTGTAAAACTTGTGCATTTCAGAACAACCCAATTCATGCACTTGGGCAATCAATCTCATTTGGGAGGTTCATGTCAGAGTCCTTGGCATGGGAAAAGTGGTCTAGTTTCTCCCACAACCGCTATGTTGAAGAGGCAGAGAGATATTCAAGGCCTGGTTCTGTTGCACAGAAGAAGGCTTTCTTTGAAGCTCACTACAAGAAACTTGCTGCTCAAAAGGCAGCTGCATTGCTTGAACAACAAGCAAACAATGGTGCACAAAACAATGCCACAAAAGAAGAAGATGAGGGAGTAATTGACAGCGACACTGACACTCACAGTCACACTCATATCTCACACACGAGTCCTAATTCTGAAATGGTTGTCAAGGAAGAACATGATGCAAAGGTTTTGAGTGTTGCCTCTAACCATGTTTCAAATTCAAAAATGGAGGCAAATGTTATACCTGAAATTAGCAAGGTAGAGGGAAGTGAGACAGTGATGGAAGAAGTAGTGGTTGTAGGGAATTCAATGAAGGTTGAATTGCAAAACCAGGTTGAAAATGTTGATCCACAAAAGGAGGAGCAAAGTGAGAAGCTTAGTGGAACACCTCCAATTAGGACACCACTAGTGAAGGTTAATATGTTAATTTATTTCCAGGAATATTTTTACATGTTTTGATTTTTTGGAGGTCATAGCACTGACTAGTTATTGGAACAGGGCTCAACTATATCTGATCAAGAAGTTTTGGCATCAATGAGCAAGAAGAAACCACCAGTTTCTTCCTTTAAGTTGTTCAAGGCTAATAATGGAACCTCAAAGTTCACCTCTACTACACCTGTCAAATCCACAGCTCCTATTTCTTCCAAAAGAGATAACATTGCTACACCAATGAGCAATAAGGCTGCTACATTAAGCTCCGCAGATAAAAAGAGATCTACTCCTAAGTCACTTCAAATGTCAGTTAGTTTTACACCCATTAGAGAACTTAATAGATTGACTGCATCAGTCATGAGGAGATTTGAAGGTACAAGAGTTGGTGCTGGTTCTTCCAAGGCTTCAAAGGATAGCTTGACTCCTCTAAGAACCCCAACTTTGGTATTTCATCTTTTTTTGCTGTCTTTTTGATTTATCACTCTCTTTCAAGCCATACAGTTTCCATTTTGCTATGATTTTCCATGTTGCATTTGCTGTCAAGAATGCTAAAGTGAGTCATTTTCCAATTACAGGCTTCCAAGGAGATGCAAAAGCACTCTACATTGACCCCACTAACTGAAAAGAAAAGGTACCTTATTGCTACAATATTGTTAATTATAATGTGAAACTGTTTACTTTCAAGCTTTCTCTAGTTGTTCTCTTCCTGATGTTGTGCATTCACATATTGTTAATTGCAGGAACAAAACACCTCTTGATTTGTCATCAGCCTCAGGCAACCATACAGGTGGCCCTAAATGGCGCTTGCTCTCTGGAGAGTAAGTTATTTCCACTTAAATTCCACGGGCTCTGGAATTTTCAGGGTGCCTAAAACCCCAAAATTCTTGGGTCAAGAACAATTGAACAGTTTGTCTTGGTTGATGTTTTTCTTATCATTAACAACTTCAAAATTCAATTTTATCTATCAGTATCTTTAACGTGTGCTTAATAAGAATACAATAAATAGTAAATTTTTATTAAAATTTGTAATATTTACTGTCATCAATGTATTAGATCTTGTAATATCTTGTGATTTTCATTAAAAAATACTATTTATAGGTTCTTATGTAATGCCTTTCAGCACACGTTAAAATATTCGAATATCTATATATGGCTGGTACATGTAAGATACGAAAACATCTTAGCCAATTCATTGTAAGAGTTGGTGTAATTATGCAAGCATCTGATACCAATATAGTATATTGTTCTTTAAAGGCCATTTTTAATTACTTCCTTATCATTGTTTTTAAACCAGTATTTCCAATATATTATTTTGCATGCAGAAGTAGAATGAGGTCCCCAATTATATCATCCCCTTTCAGCTTGAGGACAGAAGAAAGAGCTGCAAGAAGAAAGAAGGCAAAACTAAAATCCTTATTTTTCTCATGTAATAATGAGGTTTACTTTAACATGGTTATTAAAGTACTTATGTGTTCATCTCATCAATTTTAGAAACTTGAAGAAAAGTTCAATGCTAATGAAGCACAAAAGGTGCAGCTGCATACAAAGCTCAAGGTGAGTGACAAGTAAAATTAATACCAAGCATAAAATGAAAATGTTGAATTCAGCTTAATCATCAACATTCACTCCTCCTATTTGCAGGAGAAAGCAGAGACAGAGATTAGAAAACTACGCCAAAGCTTTTGCTTCAAAGCCAGGCCACTACCTGATTTTTACAAGGAAAGAAAATCTTCAAAGAATGAAACAATAAAGGTATCTCTCAAACTGTATACCACTACAATGATCTTTCCCATTTTCACTTCAAGGTTACAGAATGGAGATATTTTTGTCAAGTACAAATCCATGGGAGGAAACATTTTCTTTAATCACGCTAATTAAAGAATCAAAAGTGATTTTTTTTATTAAAGAGATTATTGATGTACTCTCATCATGAATTTTAATTCATTCTAGCATGGTTTTCAATAAAAACTCTGCAATAGAAAAAAAAGACAGAACTTAGGTGCTATTAGTGTTGTTTACTAGTTAAATTTATAGTTTTATTCCAGCAATATGTGATAACATTAATTGCAAATTTTTTAACTGAGTTAAACTCTAATTGATAAGCTATACTAACTGGAAACATATTAGATGTCGTGATTTTAATAGGACTATATACTCCTGAAACACTGAAAACTTTTTCCATGCAAGCAACAGATGTTATTAACAATACTTTCCTAATGCCAAAAGTTGATAAAAATTCAATTGCTGCCTCGCAGGACCCATTGACAGATTCAGAAGTACCGAAAGAGGGAAGGAAACCATCAACTCCCACTGTTACAGAGAGCAAACATTCTTTCCTTCCTAACAACAGACCTTCACTGAAAAACAGTGGCACAAAGCATTTCCAGGGAAAGAGTGGTCACACATTGACTCATCCTCTACCTCCAAATTCCATGATGATTACAACTCATGAGAATACATCACCAAATATTCAGCATGGATACCATAATAATAGAAATTATAAATAATGACCATGTTGAGGGCAGAGAGCATCACTTGACAACTTGTAAATGTAGCTTCTAGCAAATGGGACTGTACCACATTAGTTAGACCCCAAAGATCACAAGTATGACCCTTGTTGTATTGTGGGTACATAGCAACAATTTTCAGTAGTCCATGCCATATTTAGCTTCTAACTGTTATTCCTTTTTCTATTTCCTAGTTATAATCTTGTTGAGCCATGCCATATTTAGCAAAATTTTTTTTCTCTAAAATTAGATAATAACAAACTGTTCATTTGGTTTACAGTTAAAATAAAAAATATACACATTTTAATAAAAAAAATTGTGGTTAATATTAATTTTAGCACATGATTTTTAATTATGTTTGGTAGTTTAAAATTAATTTTCAATTTTAAAATAATTAAGTTCAAAAAATACTTCCATCATGGACTGGACAAATTGTTCAAAATATTCAAGATATAGATTATAACATAAAATTGAGATACACAAAATTGCAAAAAATAGTTTTTATTTACTTTAAAAAATGAGGTTAAATATGCTTTTGATTTCTCAAATATATACAAAAATTAAATTTCAATATTTATAATTTTTCTTGTTTTAATTTTTACTTTAAAAAATTTATTTGTTTTAATCTCTAGTTTAATCATTATTAGATAATACTACTACTAACTCGTTATTTCGTGTCACTATTTTGTGAAATAACATTAATGATAGGGACTAAAATCAACGACTTTAAAAAATATAACTAAAGAAAAAATATATAATCTTTTAAAGAACAACATTAAAATTCGATATATTTTGTAGGACTAAAATATATATATATATATATATATATATATATATATATATATATTTAAGCCTAAAATATTTTATTCTGAAATAACTAAAAGAAAAAATAAATTTATTCGTCAAGAAATATAGTGCATCTCTGAATTTTTTTAAGTAACATATCCAAATGCAACTACCTTTTCACGAAGATGATGTACAATTTTCACATAAGATTAATACAAAAATGCTACCGTGTATCGGTAATGGATACAAAAAAGACATCCACCTGGATTGGTTAATTAATCTATGCCTTTCTAATGACATGATAAAAAAAATAGAGACATCAAGCTCTAGCATCTTTTGTCCATCTCTTTAAAATGTACCGGGTTGGAACTATCCTTATGTTCCTATAGTCAAGAACTTTTAATGCATGGCAACATAAGACTCCCACATACTCAAACTTCATGCAGCTGCAACTGATTGTCTCATTAGAAGAATCAAAAGTAACCTTAAACTCAAGTACTTGTTCATATATGCTAACTTTATAAGTATACAATGGTCCACTCTCCGTGCAATCCTTTACCACTAGATTTAAACATGCTTCATATTCTTTCTGAAATAACTCAAACATCTTTGGTGTGTATGGAGCTCTTGCATGCTTTAACGTGATGATATCGCCCATCAGTGGTGGCATACGCTGGTTCATGTCATAATTGGCTTCTAATTCCTTGTAGTACCAATCAGTAATCACCTTCCCAAGATACTTGAAAAAGGGAAGAACATCTGAGTCATGCTTTAGGTGCTTTTTAAGGTTGTCAGTAAGGTTTTCTCTCAGTAGCATGCTTACTATGTCAGCACAAAAAAATTGTCTTCCATAAGCTATGGCCCATTGATCTCTGCTTTCATATATTTGATGCAACCATTCGTTTCCCCACAGTTCATACTTGTCCATGAGAGCATTCCATGCATTAGCAAAATCCTCCTCTTCATCATGATAAAAAAAGAAGCTTCTCAAATCATTTATAAAAGAACCAGATCCAACAGAAATGTGATTTAGCTGCTTCAGGGCATCTTGATAGACATGCCATACACAAACTCGGTGATTTGTTTGAGGTAATACGTCTTTAATTGCTTCAGCTGTTATTGCATCTTGATCTGTAAAGAATGTCTTTGGCTTGCTTCCAGACATTGCCTCGATGAATACTCGAAACAGCCACTTTAAAGATTCCACAGATTTATTATACAGAAGTGCAGCCCCAAAAATTGTCATTTGCTGGTGATTATTTATACCAAGGAACGGAGCAAATGGGCGGAAATCCCTGTGATATTTATAACTACTATCGAAACAAACAACATCACCAAAATCACTGTAGTCTACTATCATCTTTGTATCAGCCCAAAAAATGTTAGTTATTTGATCATCAGCATCAAGCTGGAATGCATAAAAGAAAGAAGGATTCTTTGATTGCTTGATTTGGAAATGATGCTTAATCTTCTCAATTTCTCCCTCTTTCATTTCTCTTGTACATTTGAATGGTAGTTTATATTCATAACCTGCAGAACCATAATCCAGATCGTCTAAGTGTTCCACAGTCTTGCAATTGGATTCAGATACTGACTTAGGTAGCACAGTGGAACCATCAACAATGTTGTATTCAACTTGAGTTGCTGCTAATCTCTTTTGCGATCTTAACATATGCACTCTACCAGCAGCAACAAGCTCATGATTATGCTTTTCTTCAAAGTGAGTTACATGATACCTACCATCAGGTTGACGAGAAATCACTAGTTGCGCTAAACATCCAATTCTAGTTTCCTTCCGAGGTCTCTTTACATTCGTATCCCGTTTGTCTTTCCGCCGAAAACCTTCTCTGAAGCAAGTAAACCGTCTAGACGCCACAGCACCATCAACTTTACTCCTATTTACATAATCTTTTCTTACACTGAAACCTACGTGTCCAGCATATGCATTATAAAAATCATATGCATGCTCCTCTGAGTCAAATCCCATTCCCAGTTTTGGTACCCCATCCAACCTAGACTCAATTAAGTTTGCTTCAACAGCTTGAGCAAAACTCAATCTTTTCTGTGAGGGTAACATATGAGCAGTGCATGGTGTTACAAACTCATGATTGTGCTCAGTTTCAAAATGTGTGACACGAAACTTGCCATTCAGTTGACGTGCAATAGTCATATGTGCCAAGCAACCTGTCCTTGTTTCCTGCTGGAATCTCCTCAGGTTTGTACTATTTTTGTTAAGACGATAACCCTGTCTATAGCAGGTGTATCTTCTGGACACGACTGCACCATTTATCCTACTTTTGTTGACAAAATCCTTTCTTATGCTGAAACCTTTCAGAACAGCATACTTGCCATAACAATTGTAAGCATGGTCTTCTGATTCAAACTCCATGCCAATCTTTGGTGCTACATATATTTCCTCCTCACTCTTTATATCAGTACTGGTCCTTGATATATCAACAGAGCAAGTGCAGGGATTCTGACACAGCTGTCTACTACCAACATTAATATGAAATTTGTCTTCATGGCAATTATTGGATTTAGATGTATGGCATTCATCATTAATTTCCATCTGACAATGGTCAACAGGACAATCATTTGAACTTGTGCACTCATTCTCAGTGTCAATGACCTTGTTACTGACTGCAATAGAGGAATCATTGGGATTCTGAATCTGACCCTCCTGCCCCATATTAATCTCTACCCTAGGTGATATTGAACATTCATTTTCTGCATCTTTCAGGGGGTGCGTTTTTATATCAGGTTCCGTACCCTCCATGGACCTGTGTCCTAAATGTACAAAAGGCAAACAAGGGGGCAAAATATAGTAGCAACAGAAGACAATCTGCATTAAATACACATCAAGAACAGTTGATCAGAAATACAACAATCTCTAATTATATCAAAATTGAACATGATACAATGTATCGGCTACAGATGTGAAGGAGAGAAATGTTTTCAAAGTTAAAAAAATATTTATCAATCTTGAACAGTGGCACATAGTGGCCATTCCCAAAACCGTTATAGCGGATAATGGGATGGCCACTACCACAAAATTACAGGTATGAGACATAAAAAATCATATTTACAACACAACAAAGGGTTTCATTTTAAAAGGGCAGAAGAGAACACAACAAAAATACAAGGCACGCTGATGTGATTCCATGAAGACCAGAGTTTCATATTGAACCCTTTGATTCAACAAAGGGAATGGCAAGATCCCCCCTCCCCTCCCTCCAAAAAAACACTGAATGACACTATTTTGAACAACAAACGGGGGTTTTCAAACCAGTTAAACATTGCGCCCACTAATGCTGTAAGAAGCCACTATTTCAGGTGTGATAGCAGCCATGAACAGAAAACATGATGCAAAATGGAAACCGTAGTGGCCCACAGCCCTGATACAATGCATTGCCACAATAGCAATGCAATCGAACGTGATTGACTACAGTTTAAATTGTTTCAAAATGGATAATAACATAAATGATGAATTGCATTTTCATTTTCTATCATTTAATTGTTCAAGGAGGTGACAATATTAACAAGACTGCATAATATACGTAATTTCCTAACAATTTGTGATTTCTTACATATAACTATACAAGTGCACAGAACTTGGACAGGCGTATGTCCATAACCCTAATTGTAAAATTTTGTCCATGAGAAGGAAAGGGGGTTGAAAGAAAAGAATCAGTAGCTTAAACATCTTAAGCAGAATAAAAAAAAATGGAACATAATTTGAATGTGAATTTTATCAAACAAAAACATATTGGATAGTGTTGATATAGTTCAGTAACATTTATATCTTAGCATTAGAGCATTACATGGTAAAGGTATGTATAAAATGCATATGAAAGAGCAAACCACTTTGGCCACCAGCTAACAACATCAAATTACAGTTCTATTTGGTAGAGTGAGAATGAGAATGAGAATGAGAATGAAAGTGGTTTTCTATTATGTGCTTGGTGCAGAGTGATAAGGAGAGCAAGGAATCACATTGATAGCTTTTTCATTTATCGAGTAGCAGTACCTTGATGAATTATTAAATATTTATTAGTTAAATATTTATTAGCTGCTGATTATACTTGGTGGGCCAACAATAAATGTTTGAACTCGTTGAGGGTACACTATACAAGCAACATTTGGTGCCATATCAATATCCAAGGTGAGTTTTCAAACATTTATTAGCTGTTGGTCATATTCAATAAACTTTTGAACACTTGTTATGAACCAACAGCCAAAAAATATTTGACTACTCACCGTCAGTGCTTCACCTGGTCTCATGGTCCAGTATTTTCTATCAACTATTATTTTGTATATCATGTAAGCAAATATCCATAAATGATTTTCATTCCAAAATTTTAACCTACCCAAACAAGCAAACCATTAGAATTGGAGCTAGAAACTTGGAAGCTAAGTTCTCTACTAATTTAAGAAGGAACATAGACTTGATTGTTGCAACCAAGGAGATTAGTAAACAAGAAGTTTGTTTCCATGATCCATCTCATGCCTCCAAATTAGGAAGCAGGAAGATAATGGAGGGAATGAGGATAGATTCCATCAGGATCCATTCCTTTTCAATGCTATTTTAAACAATCCAAATGATAACAACTATTGTTATCCCATTCTATTTCCCTTCATTCTATCTTTTTCCATTATCTAAACTGCTAACATAGTGATCAAATCCAATTCCTATCATTGTAAAATTTAAAACTATTTTACATTATTATCCAATGATGTGTTGACAATACACGATTGCATGATATAAAAATGCCAGTTAAGGAATCAAACATACACAATTTTCTATTTATAAACATAACACTCCCGTGATTTTCAATACATCCCAAGGTAATTTCCAAAAAAGATCGACTTTTTATTATCTATTAATTCCTTAATCAGTGTCCTAAATACCAGTTAGCAAGACCCAAATTCAGTAAAGTTAAATCAAAGCACACTTGCATTACCAACTTTTTCTCAAATCTCAGTTCATTCCACAGACATCATTAGCCATTTCATAATCAATACACAAATAGAAAAATGCAGAGATGAGACAGAACAGGGTCATAGGTTAGGGTTCCAAGTGTGTGTGTGTGTGAGAGAGAGAGAGAGATTGGAACCTGGGAGCTGATACGTATCGGAAGAACCGTAGGAAATTTTCTATACGGTTTTGAATCATTCGGAGCTGTTCGTTCGGTTACGGATACGTGAAGCATGAAACGGAGAGAGAGAGAGCAATTCTCGTCCCTCCAGTTCGTTGTTTACGAGGATGACATCGAATGACACAACTCGACTGTTATTGGTTATATTAGGCCTGTTTCATGTTTCCCATTGGAGGGTATACTAATTTATACTCTCAAGTTCTTTTTTCTTTTTTCTTTTTCCTTCTAAAACAAGATTGTGGTTTTTTTTTATTTATTAATTTATAAATTTTGTTTATTATCTTTTATTTATATTTTTTAAAATTTTAAATAATTTAAATATTTATTCTACATAAAAAATAATCAGAAAGTGAAAAATAAATTTAATATTAATGAATATATAAATTTTATTTTTTTCCTCTTAAATAGACAAATGAAAAGAAATAAAAGATTTATTTAAATGTCTATGAAATAATAACATATTAAAATTTTCTTTACTAAAATGTATTTTAAAAAATAATTTTTTGTATTAAAAAAATATTTTAGATCAAGTTAATTATTCTTTAATTCATTTTAAGAATAAGTATTGATTAACTTACTTTTCTTAATAATCTTTTAAACAATAGTTTTATTAATCTAACTTTTAGTCTCAATAGTTAGATTAAATTTACGTTTTTATAAAATTTTGAAATTATTTGATACTATATTAAACAATTTTTTTTAAAAAAAGTATAATTTAATTTTCAAAATATAAAAAATATCAACTATAAGATTATATATCCATAAATATTTAATTTTCCAAAGTTTAATGTGAATAAATATAAAATAATATTTCATAATTTAATTATTAAATTAGAAAATTATTATTTATAAAAAGTTATTAAATGAAATAAGTTACTAAAGAGTAGCCATTCTAGAGTTGTTTTTTTCTTCCCCTTCATTTACACCTCTAAATATGCCAGAAATAAACAAACGAACTTGAACGAGGGCATATCATGATAGTTAGTGTAAAATTCTTTACAACATCATTACCAAATCATATATTATCACAACATAATTTTTTTTAATTATATGTGGAACGTTGAATTTTTTACTTTGATTTTGATAGTAAAATTATTGAAGCTACATTAAATTAACCCTGTAATCAAAATAAAATTACTGATTTTGATAATAAAATAATATATACAATTTTTATCCCATAGTGGTAATGTGGATAAGCAAGGGATGTTAAGTATCAATTTTTTATGCCACATATTTTTTTTTTTTTTGTGTCACATCATCACTAAGAATTAAAAACATTAAATTAAAAAAAAAAAGACCAAAATAATAAAATTAAATTTTTTTAAAAATATACATCACATGTATTCTAAATTAGTATCCTATACACGTACTGTGCTTGATTCAAAGCATGGTACGTTGGCATTGTACACATTATCCATCTTCAACATCATTCACACTTCTGCTGGAGGCTGATGTGAAGATTTAACTACACCTTTGATATGTTGATCAATTGGACTTGCACAGTTTAATGGTTCCTTGATTTCTTCACAGTTTTTCAGAGTATGCCCTTTCTTGTCACCATATAGCATATAATGTTGACACATTAAAATAGAATCATAGACTATAGTTACCTGCAATATAAATATATATTACCACTTTATTTTTGTTCTACAAGTACTTACTGATAAATTTGTTTAAATTAAAACATATTTATAAGTTTATTCTAACTAAAATATGCTGAACATATGGAATAGCAGAGGATTGAATCACATACCAAGGATATGAGTACTTTCCCAGTGTTTCCATAGAAGTTAACCAACGTACCTATATAGATAAAGTTGAAATTCATGATACACATTAAGGATAAAATGTGATGGCACGGTCTAATTCACCATTGCTAGATAAAATCACAAACCTTGATCTATTGACTGCACAACCATTTGTGAATAATTAAATACCCCTCCAGAAAAATCAAGGAGAACACCACCAACGCTAAATCCATCTGTGCTCTTCCGCAAGAAATTCATGAAGGCCTTTGTTTCATAACAGAGAAGCCATAACTTAGAAACCAAATGTTGATGGCTAATCATGTAACCCTTTTCCTTGTTTTTTATTATGTGTTTGCGTTTTTCTTAAACTTCAAAAATTGTATGAAGTTAATAGGATGAAATACAAGGAAAACACTGATAACAGTGTGTCTGGATTTGAATTTAAATTCTTATGGATTCATGTCTATTTGAATGCTATTAATATAATTTCTACACGTATAAAAACTTTGCATTACGCTTTTAAACACTAAAAAAAATTGTCCATTCAAACAGAGAAATCAGCTCAAGTGTCTGAGGTGATAAAAAATATATTTTAATTAAAAACATAAAAATAGTGTCTGATATGTGTTAGACAAGTGTCAATGTTGAAAATGTATTTGAAACTATGACCTTTTAAACAAGACAGGTGTCTACTTCATAGGATACAATTAAAGCTATATTTGAAGATGATCATATTGAACATAATATGGAGGATGAGCATTATAACCTGGGGAAAGTATTTGATGACAGTCATAACTACTTGAATTGAGCTGCAGTATAATCGATTTTTGCAAATTCTTAGTCGAAAATCAAATCATAGCACAACACATAAGACAATTATAATAGTAACAATCGTATTGAAATAACAAAATATGAAGAAACAGAGGAATATCAACATTCCCTTGAAAGACCCTCAATTATACATGATTCATAAACAAAGAAGCTAAGGACATAAGCCTGAGTTATGAAATTAAAATAGACACCTTCAAACTTTTAAGTGAGATTACTGTTTATAGATACCTAAAGAAAGTGTACAATATTTAACCATAGCCTCAACTTAATCGTCCTGAAAGATTTTTTTAAGCCACGTTTGAGCATGAGTGCATGGCCATTAATTGAGTTTTCGATGTTCATTTGTCACCTTCCTTACCCCAACACATGTATGTAACAATGTAATGCAACAGAAGAAATTTTAGAAAGTAAACAATTGCAACCAACACATACTGAAAAACAGAGAAAGAGACTAAAGACAAATAGGTCTAAACAAGATGATCTATCAAGCTATTGAGAAGTCCAAGTTCATTAGTAAGAAACAATGTCTACTCATCCATATGAACTATTCAGACTCAGGAAATTGGACAGAAACCAAAGAGCTTGTGAATCTCTATTGAGTGCTAAACTGAAAACTAGCATCTACAATGTTAAATTCATATTTGAGTTTCAGTGGAAAGTACAGAAAATAGTTCATGATAAAAATATGACAATGAAGGAACAGAATATGTTGATTTCTGTGCGAAAAAAAAAAAAGTGGTTCTGTAAAAAATTGGAATGAATTTATTTAAGGTTCTTTTCTCAATATATTTTTTCTCTAGCAGATAGTGATTGTGATAAAATGAAAAGGTTCAGGCACAATCAACCCAAAGAAAGCTATGCAGCCACCATAGGAGTAATGGTTTCAAAAGGGAAAAAATGAATATATTGATGCCAGTTTATTAAATTGTATCATAAACACAGAACACACACACACACACACACAAAAAAAAAAAAAAAAAAAAGAAATTTTTATATTACATCTTTAAGCAAATACTTCAGAGAGTTTCATTAACATTCAAAACCTTCTGGATTGGTTAAAGAAATTTTAGTCATAATAAGAGTGAATCTTACTTGAAGATGGAGATTAGCCAAAGCCAAGATTGGCTAGGTAATGCTATGAAGAAACAAACAGCAGCACTAAACCACACAGCAGCAACTATAGCAATGGCATATTTGGAAAACTTCTGATTTCCACGCTGCAAATGCCACATAAAAAAGTCAGCGGATCATTTACCATCTTTGAATTAACAAGAGCAAAACAGTATGGTCATAAGAGGAGAACATAATCTCTTATGAAGAACTTTTGATAATACTTACTTCAAACATTGCAATTTGGGATAATATAATTAAATTTAGTATGACTGCATGAGTTGAGAAAGCAACATCATTAGCAGCTACAGGAATCATCTGCAATAACAAGAGATTGTAAGGCAAAACTAAATAATGTGAATGCCTAGTTCAGTAGTTTGGATAAACCTTTGCAAAAGTACTAATAGAAGAATAAAATAAAGTCTCATAAGTTTAAATCAACTTACACTCTTTTACCTTTTTAGAAGTTTTCTCAATTAATTTATCTAAAACATGAGCTATATACATGAATTTTGACTTATGAGAAAGGTTTTATTTGTTTTAAATCTTTATTTTCTTCTCCAATAACTGTTTTTGCAAAAGCTTATCCCAACTAGGCCAATATCTAATGGTTTTGGACTGAGACAGTTGATTTTCATATTTCTTGGCAATGCATTGGTGAACTATCCCTAGTTTCTTGGCAATGTGATCCCTTCTATGAAATGATAAGCAAAATGGAGGTTTAAATAATGATTAATCTAGAGCTGATGCAAATTTTGAGTGAACCATGCAATGGATATCAATAACGCAGTGTCTCAAGTAAATAACACAACCATAATGTGCCGTACTAATACTAAGGAGATGAATGTCTGTACATAACTTTGAAATGCATACATGAGAATTGATTTTCTTAGTAGCAGTTGCAAGGAAAAATGAATAAAGTTTTGATGCAGCATAAAAAGGATTCACACTATGTGATGTCACTTCATTTAATTGTTTTAACTTGTTAATTCTATCTTATTTCTTAACTTATTTGATGGATATCATAGAATAAAAGAAAAGGATATCATAACTTTTCTTATCATATATTATATCTGGCGTGAGTTTAACAATAAGTCTATGATTTTATCATAGTCTATCATTTCCTATACTATGATCTCTATCAAACTGACCCTTAGATTAAGGTGAACCAAACCTGCTATTAGTTAACATAGACATACCTGATCATAACCATACTTCTCAAAATACTGCTTCTGAATTACAGGGCTAAAGAAGAGGGAAGCGTTGTATATCAGATATGACCAGTGTTTAGTGAAGTTAAGAATCTCATAATCCAAGCTTAAGCCCACAACACTGAGTCAGAATACCAAAGGAACCAAAAAACACTTAGAACCACCCAATGAAAAAACACAAACAAAAATTAATATAGAACATGAAAAAACAACCTTTTTCTACGAAAATTCAAGATGATTTGAGGGTAGCCAGCAGTGGCCCATGAAAGGAAAGCTAACCAACCCAGTAGTTGGTAAATCACTTGTAATGGAAATGAATTCCAAGGAACCATTTCTGTGTCTCTGTTTCTGGCACAGGGGAACCAATGTGTTTTCTTCTTTTGTCAATCGTTGGAACCGTCCAAATATGTCTGAATTTGGTTTGTCTCATTTTAACAACTTTAATAATTTTTATTCTCAAATATTTTTTCCTTTTTTCTCTTTCAATCATTTCTTTCTTCCACTTTCTCTACCCCAAAAAATAATAATACATTAATACACGTTCATCGTTATCTTTTTCAAATACATGAACTCTGAAATTAAAATCCTTAAAATATTTAAAGAATCTGAACCCATTTCACCTAGACTAACATATATAGTTAACAACTATATCAATGATTATATTTATACATACATGTATATTTTATTAAAAGAGTGAAAATAAAACATTCTTTTGAATATATACACATTTTAATAATATCTTTGAGATAATAAAATAACTCTTAGTGCATGTTTATTTAAAAAAATGTTTATATATATATGATGCAGTTTTGTGGGACTTTTCCATGGGTCACGCCTTCATATCTACTAAGTAACGTGTAATTTTTGAAAGAAAAGTTGATTGGTTACTGATATGATTCTTTTACCTCAAATTACACCCATCACTTTCCATGTACTTGGCCCAAGAAACTAGCTCCATTCCATCCATGCTGTTTGCTTTCTATTTTTCCATTAAGTTATATATGTTTCACTGTGTTAAACATGTAAGAAAATATTTAATCCTATTAATTTTATAAATGCATTATTTTATTATTTTTTAAAATAAGATATTTCATATCAATAAAAATATATATTATGAAATTAAATTTTGTTAAAATAGCTAATGGTATCATAATGTTGATATTTTTTAAAATCAAGTATGATTACTTCTTGTAAAAATATTTCTGATTTTAAAATATTAAGATATTTTATAAAACTAACTTTTAGTATAGTTTTGTTTAGACTAAATTTCTCTGTATCATGTTGCGAAAATATATGAATAGAGTCCACATTGCGGGTGAGTTCATTGATGCCCACCAAATAATTATAAAGTTATGGATAATTATTTTCTTTTCTAAAATTTAATTATTCTTTGCAATTATTTTTACTGAAAATAATTTTATTTGAGCTAAATAAAATTATTATAAATAATAATTTTTTTAAATATTAAATACAATTATACTCAAAGAATCAAATTGAAACTACATGCTAAGTTAAAACAATATTTTGTTAATAACTTTATATTCAAAATAGAATAATGAAAAATTATGATATTTTTTTTAAAATGTTTAATATAATTATATTTATTAAACTAAAATTAAAATTATAAAAAATTATTTTTAATATTTTCTATGTAAATTAAAAAATTTATATTTTCTGCAACCAAACATCTTAACATTAGTCATTGGTTGACAATTAAGGGGCGCTTGATAAGGAAGCTTTCTCAAAACTTTTTAAAAACATTTTAAGTTAAAAATATTAATTTTTTATAATTAATTTCAAATATTAATATTTAAACAAAATTAACTATATTTTTAGTGAAAACTTCACGAAAAGGATAATTTATATGAAATTAGAAAATTTTTGTGATATTGATAAAAGTATTCTCAAAATTTTTCAGACACTCTAAATATATTTATAACATTTTTAAAAATAAGATTATTGACACGTGGGCCACGTGTAAATTGGAGAGTTGGTCTCCCAAGGCAAAGCTTTTGTATGAAATAAGGGCTCTTAAAAGAATTGATTGACCAAACGTTGGATTGATTATTTAACTAATTATTATTTAATCGTTTCCGATAAGCTATTTAAATTAAACGTTTTAAATTCATAGTAGTTATTAAATTGATAGATATACTGATTCGGAGATCATCAATGATTATTATTAAATTAATATTAAAATAAATACATTTTTTAACATTATCTAATATATATTAAGTTATAAATTAATATAAAATTGTAAAAAATAGTTAAATAAAATTTCAAATTAAATAAAACAAAAAATTATTTTAATACACTGTTAATGTAAAAAATTTATACTAGAAATTATTGTATGATTTTTTAAGTAATTATTATAAAAGTTAATTTTTTTAATTAAATAACAACTTATAAATGAATAATAATTATACTTTTAAATTTCTTAATTATATTTTATTAGAGAAATCTCAAATTACTATAAAATATTAACATTAATCATTTTGATCTCAAAATCAGAGACTTTTCTATATTGTTTTAAGACAGTCTCTATTAACATAAATCAGTAAAGGAAGAGTAACAAGATAATTTTTAACACATTTTTAATTGCTAGCTGAAGTTTATTAAAAGTTACAAAAGTATGAGAAAAAAAATTATTTTAGAAATAAAAAAATAAAACACATAATATTTGTAGTTTTTAATAAATTAAAAAAATTAGAAAAAGTTGTGTTACATAGTATATTACTAACTTTTTTTTCAATTTATTATAACTTTCATTTCAGCAAAAATTGTGAAAGTATTGAAAGTAAAGAAAAACATATTATAATTAAGAAGTGTAAGAGTTACAAGGGTGCTGCTTACTTTGATCACTTTCTCCATATATCATCAAAGTATAACTCGCCAATTCAGAGAAGCTCCCAAAGTTTACCAACAAAAAACTTACTAAATGCATTAAAATTAACAACAAACAGTTTATTGATTTTAAGTCATAGTAGATGTACAATTATAATTAAACTAAATTGCAACAAAGTTTGTGATTTCTTCGGATCAAAATCACATTCAAACAATATTTTTCAAGAAATTACAAACTATAATGATCTATATTATTATCATTATTTCATGTATATTTTGTGTTCATTAATCATTAAATTTAGAAGTTTGTAGCACCCATGAGGGTAAACTTGCCTATAACTAGCTGAAATAATGACAATATATTCCCTCCTTGGACTTAGATACATGAATATTTACAAGTGTTGGAAATTTCCCTGCAGCTTACAAATCAACTAATGAAGGGCACAACTAAGAAATTTTAGAACCACCAAATCTATATTCCCTTAGACATTCTCGGGTAATGTTTGATCTGAAGACTTGGCATCCTCAAGTTCAATAGAGGTCTCTGATCTGTTATTTGTTGAAGGATATAATAGAAAATGTTGGCACATGAAGATGATGTCAAAGAACACAGATACCTGCCATGATTAATTATTAATTATTTCATCAAAAACAATGTTATCTGAAACTAAAGAAGTGATTCTTATCCAAAAGGCAGCTGTTATACTTGAATTTGGCAAATGCTAATAAGAGCATTGTTAATCAGTCCAATATATATATATATATATATTCAATTTAATTGTTCTTTTAACTAGTGTCTTGTAAAGGTACTGATTAACAAGACTCTTTTTGAACTTTAATAAATTTACTTCTTCTATGAGAAGAAAGTTAAGATTCTTGGATCTAAACAACTACATATATAAAAGAAGTTGCCATCTTCCTTAGTAAATTTCTTGAAGCATAAAATTTAGAATGGAAGGAAACACACAAGCAAAAATAACTCATATGATATAGTAAGAGAATATTTCTGTGTTCATACCAGAGATATCGTTAGTTTCCCTACATTTCCATAGATGTTCTTCCAAGAACCTGGAAATTAAAAATGTAATGTGAGAAGTGTCTGTTCAAACTACTAGGTGAGGGAACAAATTGATTTTCGGAGGGGAGAAGAGGGAAGAACAGTAATCCCATTTTAAATAAATATGTTTTAATTTTATAAACTTTTAAAAATATAAAATAATATATTAACATAAATGTAAATATTAATATTACTATTATTACAAAAGCTATATAAAAAAATTTTAATATTTTCAAACATAAAAAGAAATAAAAGTTTCCTAGAAATTTTTAAAAAATACTGAACACTCTCCCTTGCATGAAGAAGATAACAGACCTTGATCAATTGATTGCAAAACCATTTGAGCATAGTTTGCTAGCCCTCCAGAAAAATCCAGTAGAGTGAAACCTACACTCCACCCATCTGTACTTTTCCTCATGAAGTTCATCACTGCCTACAGATTACACAATTTATAAATCAAATATCACTACCTTCTCAAAAATGTATCGCCATTCAAACCATATAATGCATAAAAAAAAAAAACTTTAAAATAGAACATTAATGCAAAAGAAACTAAGAAGAAAAATATGCAAATTAAGATAGATATAAAGCCCTTACCTGTGGAATGTATTTTACAATCGTTAAACAAATTTGGATGAAGCTGCATCAATTTTAACAGAAATTAGCATGAAAGAAGTAATGAATGTTATTGTAAAAGCTAGAATGATAATGGGTACTCAAAGTTTGGCATAGATAAAAATTAAAGAGCAATAGCAACGTTCCATTACAAGCACACTATCAATTATTTATATTTTTTTTATATACATGGATTCAAAATCTGTATTAAATTTAAAAATTTACATTATTTAATAACTTTTTATAAAATATAAAATTAACAAATCTAACGTTAAATCATACTATAGATAATAAATGGCATTGAACGCACAATAGCTAAAGAGAGACAACATACTTGAAAATGGAGACTAGCCATAACCAACGATGTTTAGGCAATGCTATGAAGAAACAAATAAATGCAGTTAACCACACAAGAAGGACGATTCCAAAAGCTATTTTCGAGACTTTTTGACCTCCACGCTGCATAGGAATTAAACTTGCATCTTTTAGCATAATCATTAATTATTAACAAGCACAATTAATTAATTAATAAGCTTAATTAAAAAATAAAAATACTACTTCGTAGATTGCAATCTGGAATACGGTAATAGCTGTAATGAGAACAGCATGAGCTGAGAATGCAACATCATTTGCTGCCACAGGAATCATCTAAAACAAAATATATATGAAAAAGTTTAGCTGTCGACAACTTTGAATTAAAATACTCTAGTGGAGAGTGGATTTTGAAAATAAAATTTGTGTGGTTTGACAGATATAAAGTTTAAATTAAAAATTTTATAAATAAAATAACCACGTTTATGCTTCACATTTTTTTAACAAGTAAATGTTGTGTTTTATATTAAGTTTTAATAAAAAAATTGTGTAGAAGGAGATAAACTACACTTTGCTATTTTATAGTTAAACAAACAAAAATCGTAAATTGGTTCAATTCAAAAAACACTTTACATGGGATTGAACTCAATAGAATTTAAATTTATATTTGATAGAATTAGATTGAAAATATTTTTTTTTTCTATAAAACATATCCAATACAATCAAGATATCTTTTTAAGAGGAGCATTCAAAATACACTCTTAATACAAATTTTTTTTAGTATTCTTTTATTTATTATAGCTGAAATTGATTAAAAACATGGGATTATTAAATTAAGATTGAGAGCCAAGTATTTTATTTTATAACATTTAATTAATTTCAGTGAACAATAAGATATGTCTTGGAAGAATATCTTAAAAAATTAATGACTAGAATTTATTTTTAAATCCTTTCTGGAGATCAGTATCATAATTCTACATTCTATCAAATAGTATGTTACACACTACAAAGCATTTATAATTTTGTAACAACGAATTATACCAATTAGATGAGAAAAATTAACTCATTCTACTGAGTCCTTCAAATGCATTAGTAACAGATCAAACCTCTTTCTGACCGTATTTTTCTTTGTACTGCTTCTGAACAGTAGAGCTTAGATACAAAGATGCATTGTAGATCAAATAAGAAGTTTGCTTCATCAAGTTTACCACCGCATAATCAAAATTCAACCCCACAACACTAAATCATGAAGGAAAACTCCAATTAAATTAAGAAAAGAAAAAAAAAATTGAAAGACTTTATTGAATTATTGTACATTAAGTCATATCATATGGTCAGAAAATTGTTTTATTACCTTTTCCTGTGAAAGTTCAAGATGACTTGTGGGTAGAAACTAAGGGACCAGCAAACGAATGCAAACCAACCCACAACTTCATATGACACATGAAGTGGTTCCGAATGCCAAGAATCCATTGTTAATAATCTCTTGAGCAAGAAGAATTCACCAATCCCAAAGTCTAATAACAATGTTGAACAAAATCTTGATGTCTAATGTGTAATGACGACTGAAACTAAATCTACAAAGTTTAGCCATGAAAATTGTTAAATTCCTAGTGTAAGGTCCTAGTCATTAGTGTCTTGTGTTCTAATAATAGCAAATTATTATATATCTTGATCTGTACAGAGCCCAGGAATTCTTTGACCGAAATCAAGAAAATGAATTGTAGAATTGATCTAAGAGATTATTTGAGTCAGATTCAAAATGGTATTGTGTGTTTGCAAGTTGCAAGACATTTGTATTACAGATTCTTTTTTACCTTTTTTTTATAACTCAATTGAAAATAACAAAACAGTCCATGATAATTTTTTTCCTTTAAAAGAGGAACATTTCTTCCTTCCCTCAAACCATGATTGAAGTCGTATAAAGAGGTTAGCATCAATTTATTTTAAATTTTGGTAGAATTAATTTTCATAAAATTAATATTGAAAGGATTGATTTAAAAAATTGATTTGTGTTTGAATATAATTGTTTAAATGTGAATTGAATATTTTTTTTTTTAAGTTGATAAAGTAAAATTACTTTAGAGTGTAAATAAGGTAAAAAAATTTAGTCTCATACCCAATATTTATTCCATCTAAAAGAAAAGTTAAAAACTTTCATTTATTCAAAAATCAATTCTATATGCACTAAAGAATAGACCAAACAAAACACTGTTGACCGCTGTATCAACATCTTTTCGTGAACCACACTGGGAATTTGAGACAGTATAAAAAGGTTATATTTATAGGTCATAAAAATTAAATCTGATCAAGACAATCATCATCATAATATACAAAAACATTTTATATTACAAACAATTCGGAAAATATTGACATATGCTATCAATAATAATATAAATCTCATTGATTAACATGTCTTTCAAAACATTTTGACCACCCACCATTGTAGCTCTAGATCCGTCTTTGAACCAAGTTTAGCTTTGAACTATCCCTGCAAGGACAGAAGAATACTGTCCTTTGCCAACTGGGCTTTAAAATATTTATTTGTGGTCGAAAATTTTTGAAATGGATGGATACTTCCTGGACATTATATATAATATTTACACATTTTTAAAATATCGAGAAAATTCAACTTAAAATGTGATATAAAATATTTAAAATAACGTCTTTCAACATATTTTACTAAAATTCATTATAATAAGAAGTTCAATATACTAACACACACTAATCTTGATTATCATTTTAAATCCTTTACTGTGTAGCAGTGTCCTAGTGTTTTACATTTTTGAATAAGTGCTTGAAAGGAGTTCACTATGAACTGCATTATTTCTGATTTTGTTTATTTATTTATTTTATTGTTTTGTCAAAAGGAGGCTCATTTTATTTTTGTTTATATATAAATATTGAAGATTTGTCGCTACAATTTAATGATTTGGCGTGCTTTTACTGCTCATTAGTAAAAGACACGAAATATTTCTTGATAATTGATTTAACATTAACAGGCAACTTTCTTTGGGACATGAACGCAATAGCCAAAATTAAATTAAAAAAATATCCATCACTATTAAAAAACGAGAATGTTATAATGTTGAATACACCGTAATAGAATTTAAACTACCATGCAAAATTAATCCAAATTATTCTATGACCTTAATTAAACAAAAACACATGGACACAGAACAAATTCGAATCCTAAAACACAGCTATTGAATTTTCCTAAGTACTCAAATGACATAGGAAGCAACACATGCCAAAACAAACTGAAGAAGGAGCATTTGAGAGACCACAATTGGTGAAACATGAACATGGTACCCTGAAGACTTGGCATGCTGAGGAAGAGACTCATCTTCCATCACCCTCACAATCATCTTCTGTCCCTTCTTACAGTGCCCTGATGCACCACTGATGAAGTAGAAAGTCCCTGAGTGCTCAAACTTGAACACTGTGTTGCCATTGTTGGAGAAGAATGTGGGGTGTGTTGCATTGCAAAGCTTGTAATCTCCTTCACCCACCTCCATCACGGAGTCCTTCTCATACTTAAACCCTTCACACATAAAACCCAACTAGTTAAAAACACGCATCAATTTTCCTCGCCAAAAAAAGTAAAAGATTAGAAATTTTTTTTGCATGAATGGCCACGTGTCTTTGTATGAGTAGTTAGATAATAAAATAATAAAAAATAAAAAATAAAAATTAAGAATTTGACAGAAATCATTGGCAGTGTTGATTATACAATTTTCGTTTTTTTTTTAATCTTTTCTCTTTCTTACTAATTAGTATTTTTTTAATAATAATTATGATGCAATGCGAAAATTCAGATTAAGTGCATGTTTGATTTCCATGTTTACAGGCTCTAAATATATGTTTTCAACCTTACTAATTCTAACTTTTGCGTTAGATTCATGTCTAAATCCAAACACACACACACACACACACAAATAGATAATGAATGTCAAATTAATGTGTAGTGACAGTGATGGTTATAAATTGAAGTTGTGAAGAAAAAAAAATGTTTCATTTTCATGTGTTGTATTATGCATTAAGTGAAATAGTGCATACTTATGGTGTCACCAACGTGGAACCTGTTGTGGGAAGCCCAATCATTGTAGATGTTGGTGTCATTGGAAGGTGGGACAAGCCACCCATTTGAGCCACCAACTTGGAAATTGGAAGCCACAGAGAAACATAGAAGAGTAGATAAAATGGCCAAGAGAAGCACAAGCACGGAAGTTGAACAAGAATAAGAAGCCATTAGAATGAGGAGAAAGAGTGCAAGAGTTTTGTGGTGAAAGTAGCACGCTATGGTGTTGTAAGAATTCTGGAAAATTTGGGTTAGTTCTAATATATAGAGGTTGATAGAGAGAGTGGTGAGTTGGGTTTGCAATTGGCTGAGAAAATGGGGTAGTGGGTGGCAACAGTTATTTACAAGTTATAGCTTAGAGCCTTAAATTTTTGCTAAATAATTTGACCTGGTCAATGGGGTCCGTTCCTCAATTAAATGAACTTGCTAAATATCAGATAGCAAATTTTGCTATAATTATGTAGTTAATTTTATTAGAAATTTAAACTTCTAAAGCTCCTTATACTAATTTTAGAAACATGTTATTTCTAACTCTTACAAAAAATAATTTTTTTTTATACTTGTTTATTTTCTTATGAGAACTACTATAGAAGTTTACCAGATCAAAATCAATATTGTTCTATGGTGCCACTTTTGCTGCATTTCAAAGCATGCAAAGCACATGGAGAATGTTAATTTCATGTACTGTGGAAGGTGACAAGGAAATTGCATTATTTTGAAGGCATAATGACATATACATACATGTTCTGCTCATTTTTCATTGTCATTTCCATTGCATAAATAGGTATGTACAACAATCAGGCAGGGTCAGCAATATTAATATGATACTAACAAAATCAGGCAAATTTACAAGACCTATAAACAAGACATGATATACATTTTTGTTTTTCATGATAAAATTTGTAACATGATAGTCTCATAATGAAATTTCCAAATCTCTTATATGTTCAGACTCTTGATCAGAACCGTTAGTTCTATTGCCTTTGAATGATTTCTTGCTATAAAGCCGAGGAAAAGCACTCTTTGATCTGATTATTTTAGGAGCTCCATGCTTCTCAGCAAGCTTATCAGATAATGAATTTACAATAGTATCAAAGCGCCGCTTGTAGGTGGGGAACCTTGTGATAAATTTGGTGATCCCTTGGAGCCTTAACATAAAATGAAAGAGAAAATGAAAGTGCCAAAAATCTTTGTCAAAAACCAGTGAAAAAATAACTAATTTGAAGTTACCACTTTTCTCTTTAAAATTACAAAGAGGGTTAGTAATATTAGTAAGATATAATTTTATAATTCTCAATAAATTTTTATTAATAATAAAGAGTATGTTCAGAAAAATGTGTTAAAGAGTATATTACTAGTATTTATTAATTATAAATATTATTCACTTTAGTCTCAAATCATATACCAAAATTTTTTATAAAATATTATATAAATTTTCATTTATTTTAATCCTTTTTATTACATTATTTTATTAAAATTAAAGGTTAAAGCAAATGAAATATTATAACATTTTATGAAATCAAGGATATAGTTTTTTTATAAAATCAGGAACTAATTGATTTGGTCTGAGATTTTACCTTCTAGCCAATGCATCAAGTTCAGCACGTTTGCGATCAGATTCCGGGGCTGGACCAATAATTGAATGGTTTACCCTTTTGGGATCACCATTCAAGAGAACTAATTTGCAGAGGTAATCCTCTTCTTGCACAGTAAGATTTTCAGCTTTGATTTGGTCTTTAATGATCAGAAGGGGATTAAGGAACCATTCCAAAAATTTTTCCTTTGGTCTGTTTGTGGTAGTCAGTTCAGTATCATCATCTACATTGAGGAAATAAGCATAATGATTTCTTCGAGGCAATTGAAAGCCAATGATATTCAAAATCATAAGCAAATGGTGTAAAGAGGAAAAAAGGAAAAGGAAAATGTTGAATGCTAGAAAACAGTTCATGAAGAAATAACAAAGATAAAGTTGGCAAAATGGGTTAGCTCGATCATACTGTCCTGAATAAACCCCTTATAAAACTTGAGCTTAAGAATTTAAAGCCTGAATATAAACACAACATTTAAGTACATACTTGAAACGGGCTTAGTGCAGATTAGCCTAATTGAGTTTGGCACTTCTTGTTCAACTGCACTGTAATTTATTATACATAATCTAATAATCGATTATACTATATTAAAATATACTTCTAAAAAAAATAAATAAGAATTCTATAATTGATTAACATGTTAATATTCAGTGAGTTATGCCAACTGTTAATTGATTACCAGAGTGTGAGTGTTAGCTTCTAAATTATGCTAAAAGAAATAATTATAATTGATTAAGTAATAAAAACCTGCAACATCCTTAGTTACATTCCTAATTTCATAAATATTAAACTAAAGTCATTTTGTCAATGATAGTTACGATATTTTACATTTTATGATTCACACTCTATGTTCTAAAAATAATTTTTAAAGAAAGAATTAAAAAAGGCAGCTGCAGTCACATCAGCAAAGAGCTTATATTTTAAACTTTTTAAACTTAATCTACATAAGCTAAATTGAAAGTTCTAATCAAAGGTAAAAGGAATATTAGTAATACACTCTTTATTATTAGATAAAATTTATTAAAAACTATAAATATCATGTAAGTTTCACTTTTTCTTACTTTCTAAATTAATTATTTTTATAATTTTTAATAAATTTTAACTAATAATAAAATATATGTTAAAGAATATGTGTTAAAGAGTGTATTACTAGAATTACTGAAGTAGAGATTATATAATTTTAGAAAATATTTTTTATTTTTTATTTATAATTATAAATTGTTGCTTTATTTTTATTCTATTTTTTTTTAACAAACATCAGTTTTGTGAATAAAATTAGAAAGAAAACAATAATAAAAAGAATTGACAAACAATTCCTAAATTTCTTTTTTCAAACTTGCATGTTTGATCGAGTTAATTTAAAAAAAAAAAATCCTTATTTTACTACCTGTAAAAGAAGACTTTTACAAAAAATATGTTATTATTTTTTTATAATTAATCCGTTACCAAATATGGGGTTATTCTTTTTCACTCATGCACACATCTCCATCCTAATTGGTCAAAATTCATTCATAACACTTTTCTCAAAAACCATTAAACCAAAAAGCATTGCTGAAAGGATAATAAATGAAGGGAAGAGGAAAAGACAAGTAGAAGTGGACAAGTGATCACTTACTTATCAATAAACCATTGGAATTGGCTTTTGCAGAACGCAAAAGTACTTGGAGAAGGCAATATGCTGGCAAACCAATAGTAATGATTCTGCTCCTTTTGCCAGATATGGCTTCTTGTATGTCTTCATGTGTTATTAGCCCTTCAGAAATCAGGGTTTCTGCCAGTTGATGGCACTTCTCGAACAAGCTATCCAACAGCTACCCAAGTTATGAAACAATACTCATTCAGTACAGCCTCCAAAGCATGATGGAAAGCAACAACGCAAAGTAATGTTTGAGTACATACAAAATCTGGACAAATAATTAGGTTCATTTGTTTAGGTACTTCTGATGTTGTTTTCTAATTAAAACTCTATTTTTCATTGAAAACAGTACTAAAAGTACCCAAGAAACTTAAATTCAGTTTTGTCCTAAAAATTAAAAGATAAAATAAGTTTTAGTCCATATAAATATAGTTAAATTTGGCTTTAATCCTCTAAAATTATTTTTGATGGTTTTGATCCTAACAAATTTTTAAACTTTGAAAATAGTCACTGTTATGATGATCACTAATGTAATATGGTTAGATACATGTCACATTATCACTAAGTAGAAACGAAGTCCATTTTAAAATTTATGAGTACCAGAAATAACAAAACATTTGAAGGACAAAAATCAAGTTTTAACTGTATTTATAGAAACTAAAATCATATTTAAGCAAAAATTGAAAAAAAAAAAAGAATACCTCAAATGGTTTCAACTCGGATATATTGTTTGTCAGTGAAAACGTACGAGAAAAAGTCTTGTTAAAGGACTTTGTTCCTGAGAAAGAATTTGAAGGGGAAGGTGTCCGTGACACTTCAGTCTTTTTTCTATATTGAGGCCTATCAAATCCAAGTCAAGAGCATTATCAACTGCAAATGACAGCAAAAAGTTTTGGAAAGCACAGCAGAATAAAACCTTGGGAAGCAGGATCTTTCTGGCATGTCAAGAGTATCATTACTGTATTCATCATAAAGGGACAAAGCTGCAACAATGAAACAAAGGCCAAAGAAGAAAGAAGACTCCTGCATTTCAAAGAACATATTAAACATATAATGCCTAACAGAAACCATGCACCAATAAGGCTTGTTTGGTATTATTGTTTATACTTTCAATTTTGAAGGTGTTAAGGCATTATTTTGCAAAATGTAAGCTATAATTTAGAAGGCATTCTTGCGGCATGACTCATTGAAGTTTTATAATATGAGTGAGGCATTCATGAGAACCATAGATAGCATATTTAAGCATTTGGGCATACCAAACTGATAGATTAGTACCAATAATTGAGGTAAAAGATTATTATCATTCAAGAAAGATAAAAGTTCTTCCCAGAAAGCCTCTTTCTTGCAGAACTAGTACACAAAGAATATGATCTTCAGTTTATTGCAATTCAAGAGGCACTGGATCTCTCCTAACTTCACAATAATTCTCTCTCCCTCCTCTCCTACATATTAGTCCCATGCATCTTATTAAGCCTCCTTCACTCTACTAAATCATTTAGGCCCATTATTAATAGGTCTATTTTTCCTATTCTGTCTAGTATAGACCCTTTTTCATTCACAACCAAAGAAAAATCCTTTTTATTAAGGGTCTATTTACATTATTACCTTCACAAACATTACAAGGTACGCTGTTTAAAATCAATATTCAATTTGAGGATCTACGGTTGGCAGAGGATGTGACCATGTGATCAATAGAGACCCATCAATGCATTCTCAAACTTACCAAGTAGTCATGGCACCTATGTTCTCTATTATATAAATTTCAACTTCTTTTTTCTTTTTCTATCATATCATATTTATGATCCTATCTACCAAAAATTATGATTGAAATGGTTAAACATAAACTCATCAAGTTTCACATGTTCCCTTGTGTAAGAGTTGAACACCAAACCCTAAGTATAAGCATTCTACTTTTACACTTATAATCTGACTAGTGCACAGGTAATATTGCCTAATATGGGAATAGGAATTGGATGCTTCGGTTGCAGAGATAACAAATGTTGAAAATGTATTTTATTCTACTCCCTATTTTTCCTACAATTTATCATTGGACTAACCTTAATAAGTAACACAGGCTATAGTAAATTAGAAAAATATAACATATTTCATCATTAAATTGGCTAAAGTAAAATAGTAATAGTAATATCAATAGACTGAATTTATATGAGGATTAACCTGATAAGCAACAAAACCTGCATAGGCACCAAGAAAGATACTAGCTAACATGGATGCCAAAACTGCCCCAGCAACAGCCAGTGGCCACAGAAGAATAGCAAAGCCTGCAAAAGGCACACAAATTGTCTCCAAGAAAGGGCCTTCACGACCTATGAGATCGTGAAACAAACGACTCCACCCTTTAAAAAGCATGTAAACGCCTTTCCATGTGGCAACAAATGATATAATTGGCATATCAACTATGATCCCAAAAACTGCAGCTACAACAGCACCAGGAAGATAACGCAGCCTGCATCAAAACAAAATATAGAAAAAAAAAATTAAAATTTCACAGCAGACTATCATATAGCACAATTCTTTGCACCATAAGAATATGGAATGTCATGAATTTATATAGAAGACATTTTAAAAGTCACAATTTTATTATGCTTTGAAGTTCCCAAAATCTACCAATGCAGCTCCCCCATTTGACTTTCCAAGAGGGATAGTTGGATAATCTTTGGTTAAATCAAGCACTGACCAAATATACACCTAAAAACACAAAAATGCACAAAGAAAAAAGTAAAACAGTTTCAATCTTTTAGCCAAATTGATAAGGAAGAAAATTTAGGCAGTAACAGTTCACAGAGAATCATGCTGGTCATTGAAGTTTCTTTAACTTATTAATTGGAAACGCATATCCTATGAAAGGAGTTATCAATCTCAAACATGCTGCCTGGTAACAGTGCCTTCTAACAATATTTTCTATGACAGTCTACCTTAACTTTACTACAATAATTTTGGCAAGCAAATGATGCATAACTAAATCACCAGACAAACACAACAGAAGTATATATGAAAAACTGCTGTCTAGTGTCTATAATCTCAATGTCTAGATGGTTCAAAAAATAGCAATCTGTGCTATGTCAAACTTAAACTCACAAGTGGTTTCTGAAACCACTCTGCCTCTTAAGACTCGAGAGAGCATACAAAATTTTAATTGCTTTCAATTTAATAGTCACAGTTTACAACATCATGCAGGCCAGAGAATGTGCATAATACAATTTCCAACATATGCTTTCATTAGAGACATAAAAATATAACAATAAGCAAACTCAATAAAAAATATAATGACATAAAACCTGATTTCATAGTATTTCCTATCTGGATGCCCCTCTTGTAGCAAGTCATCCATAACTGAAAAATAAGTATGGTAGCATTCATTTATTACATCCTTGATAATATCAAAGGTCTTTACAATGGTGGTCACTGTTCCATCCTGAAAATGCAATATGAAATTTCTGGGTTAAGTAACAACAGGACAAAAAAAACAAAGATTTTATTTAATAACTTCAAAAATAAAACATACCGTAAAACAACGAAAAATTTTGTTCTCTTTTCCTCCCTCTACAGCTTCAAAAGTAGCAAATATTGGTGCAAGAAATCCATAGGCTGCTCCACCTACAATGCTCCCAACAATGCCAACCACTGGCCATAAAATCAACAACAACGGCAGTAGCAATGTGCATATAACAAACTTCAGTATAAGCCCAAATTGTTTACATCTGTAAGTTGGGAAATCAATGCAAAGGAAACAATTAATAATATAAATCCATGTGGAAAAAACTTGAGAGTGCACGCCAAGTAAAGTACCTCACTACGCAGTAATATGTCCAAATGCAATGTATCGGCCAAAGACCAAGTATGATGGTTGAGTTGCTGACTGAGATTATAAAGCATATCAATGGGCAGAAAATGACACCTGAAGTAATGGTGCAATTTTTGAGTGTGAGTAAGCTCAGAAACCTTCACTGCACTCCCTTCCGGTATAATAAGCAAATCAAATAGAGTAGCTATTACATAGAGGAAAAGTATACAAGCACACCTACCTTGGTTTTGCCTTGAATTATGTCAAAAGTTGGCATATTCATCTAGTTTTAAAATAATACATACTTGTCTGTCATTCAAATAATTTATCTTTTTTTTTGTTTCAATTTTCAAAATCCTGGGTTTAAAAAAAGTTATATGTTATGCTTAGTGATTCAATGAGCAGATTATGAGAATAATCATCAATAAAAGTTATGAACTTTAATTGTTTTTTCTTATTAATAACAAACAATCATGGAAACATCATTCAACATATATTAGATTGTCATTAGTTAATTCAAAAGAGTAAATCTCCAACAAAAATGTTCTCAAAATGGAACGCATGCCAGAAACACCACTGTTCACTCCACTATTGCTAAATGAAAAAGGTGTAACAAATTTCCAGGGAAAATGAACAATAATATAAAACAACTTGTAACTAAATAAATAAACAAAAGTATGCATGCATAAATGTTCCATTACAGTATTGCATTCTGTAATTAATCACCAAGAAATTCCTTCTCGAGTGTTCATCTTTTATTACTTCCCAATCAAAGCATACCATAAAGAAGCCCAAATAACACAGAACAGAACCACAGTCATTAACTTTCACCTTTTATGTTGCCTAGAAGCCAAAGACCAATGAAAAAAGGCAGGAAGTGCACAAAGCTCCATATTGAAGCCCAAAATCCTGTTGGAGGCTCCATTGCTTGCTTTCAGCCCCTCAAGTACAAAAGATTCAAACTTAGAGCACTTCAACCTTTATTAGAGAAGATAAAACTTGAAAACTATACACACCCAGATGCTAAAAACCCGTTTTTTGCAAGCACAGCTTGTTAACTCAACACAAAACCTCAACTTGCTCTTCTTTCTGCGCCTATTAGCCATAGATGAAAATACACAACAAGTGGATCAATCTTAACCCCCATTTTCTTTCTTTATTGTTTGAACTATGGGTTGTAGCCTTAAAATATTTGAAATTCTTGAAAAGGGTACACTTGAATTGTGTTGTTTACTCTTTTAGTTTTGGAGAACGATGAAACAGTTAAACTTGAAATGATAGGAAACGTTATGAACAGTGTTAGTTATGTTATGAGAGAAGAATGAACGAGCATCACATGATGCTTTGCCAAATTCTAATGTCTCCAATCACTCCTTTATTCAAAGCATACGTATGTTCTTTTGTGCTCAGCGTTGGCCTAAAGCAAAGCAACAAGTGTGCGTTATGGTGACTTGTGAGGTGTGATTTGTTTCATTTGAGAAAGGAAAAGTGACCCTTTGAAAGAGAATTGAATGAAAACCAACCAACAATATATCAGCACTGTGTTCTTGTACGTTGCGTTCAATACTAATATAATAATATTCTCACTTTTTTTTTTTTTTTGGCTAGTAATATTCTCACTTTTTTTATCACATTATCTATTATATTTTTTATTTTCTCTATCTCTTACCTACGTCTATTTTATTAAAACAAATAATCTTCTATATACTCATTTCTTGTATATAATAATATTCATTTATGTATTGTTTTGTTAATTTTCTTAATTTATTTTTTTAAAATTAAAATAAATAAAAAATTACTAAGTAAAAAAAATATAACAGCAATTGAATATGTATTACAGGGTACCAAAAATGTACTCTCATTTTATATCTACCTGTACAAATATCAATCTGCGATATCAGTTTCTCAATACTAAAATTTATACTTGATAATTTGTACATGATACGCTACATATATATTTAGTAAGAAATTATTAAAACTTTAAAAAAAACCTATTTATTTAGACTTTAGAAAATTTACTTGAAATCAATATAGTTATTAAAAAATTATAATATCAAATAACTTCTTTAAATAATGTAAAAATAATTATTTTATTGCTATAAATAAAATAAAAAATTATTATTTTTTAAAATTATTTTTAATTCATAACCATACGAATATCTTATTCATGAGAATTATATTATTTAAAAGGTAGGTATAAAAATATATTTAAAAATATATTATAAATTAATACTTAAAATAATTAATAGAATATATTAAGAATAATTATATATACTTATAATACATTTTATTATTATTATTAAACTTTGGTGGTTAGACAATTTTGAATATGCTTCAATTCACTGTAGCTTAATCAATTTTTAATAGTGAAATTTTTACCCCTTAATTTTAGTTATTTGATTAAGTTTAAATTTATCATTCTATTTAATAAATCACTTCATCCTCAATTGAAAATTAAATAAAAACCTATCTCTAAGTAAGATATTTATTAGAATGTTATGTATTTGTAGAAAATTATGTCAATTTTATTAATAAAATTAGTATAAATAAATAAATATATAATTAACGAAAAATATTGATACAAATTGAGGGAGGTTTAGAACCAATGAATTGTTTCTTCTAAATCATAGGTATTGTTTATTAAATGTAATCTTATTCAAGCAAAAAATATTATTGTTGATAACAAAACTCTCTTTTTGAAAATTTAACTTAGTTACATTTATTAAACCACAAATTTAATACCACATTTTAAGATGAAATAACTTCTTACTGATTGATCTACGCATTCAACGGTAGAATAAATGAAAACCTTATGATGAAATTAAAAATGTCTCAAAGTGTTGAAAATACCATAAAATTGATTAAGCTTCGATAAGCAGCAGAAGTTCATCGAAAAATCTTCACATTTAGAATTTGCTAAGAATTAAAAGTAATTTTCATTCATTCATTGATTCCCATTAATACTATCAAATACTATAAATTTTAATATATATACATATATATATATATATATATATATATTATGCAGTATTTTACATATTAAAAAGATTATTTTAAAATATTCAAAACATATTTCTTCATGCATATTATTTATATACTTTTAGTCTTAATTAGTATAAATATATTTTATAAGAAGTAATTTTGTTTGAAACTAGAAACATATATGATATAGTATTCTACCAATGAAGATTTTTTTCACAAACAAAAATTTGAATCCAAGACCTTTCTTAAGAAAAATCAAGCACATAGCACTAGAATTATTGATTCAACTGATACATGCTATCTAGGAAGTTACTAGAGTACTGCAAGACTTTTTTAATTTAAAAAAAATTTATAAATAAAAAGAATAACAGGTATTTTTATTATTAATATTGATTGAATATTTTATTTTAAAGAAATAATTTTTAAATTAAATAATAAATTATTTAAATAATGAATCGTCTATATTTTTATGAGAATGATAAAAAATTATATACTTAATATAAAGCAAAATCTTAACAAAGTTTGGCTTTAATAACAAGGTTATCGTTAATGGCTAGTTGTGAAAGATTGAAGCTTTAATAATTTGTTTTATTTTGTGATATACTATATAGTGTTATGTGGTGGACAGGGTATCACTAATCCTATTAGATAAGTAAAGGGTCCCTTTATCTGCTAAAAAGAAGAGGAGAAAATTAAAAAGTATAAAGGGCATACAAACGCATTATAGATCCAAAGAATATTAGATTAGCTGTTAAGGTTCATATTTCTCTTAAGAAATATTTCATCACACAAAGATAATATTTGATAGAAAGGGTTTTCAAAATTCAGAAGAATAATATGAATAAGGCATCACTATCTAATATTATATTAAGTTTGACTATATATGACTTTTTTTGTTTAAACTTTGAAAACAAAGATAAGGTATATAACTTTGGTCTATATAGTGATGGCCACGTGGTGCATTTTGATTGGGTGGCCGACACAATGACATTATTAGCAGAGTATATGATTGCTAAATGCTGTCCATGCATGGTTGCAAGATTATTAAACCAGCTTGCATTAATTTGCTTGTGCTTCTGAGGTGATTGAAAAAGGAGCATCAATGGCCAAGTGAGATTTGCACATAAAGTCATTTTCAAACGAGTAACACTACCCATGTTTCTAGTGCAAACATTCAATGCAAGCACCATAACACCAAAATGAAGATCAAAATGTATATTATAAAATGGGCAATCTCAAATTTTATGTTTTAGTGTTATTTTTCTTGCTTCTTCTATCCAATGAAATGGGCTACTTTGATCAACTCATCCAAATAATATTTATTATAAATTTGTTGGGTGCATTGTCAAATGTTCTGAATTTAAAACCATTTAAAAGTTAAATTTAGCATAAAATCAAAATTATACTAGATCAAATGAGATCGAAAAGCTGTTTTGTGTCCTCTATTTTAAAACCATATTTATTTTCGGTCCAGGTTTCACAACACCCTCTTCAAGCAACCCTCTCTGATTTTGGGTCTACTTTTGTTTTTGTTAAAGAACATTGACTGGACCCAACACACAGTGGGCTTTGGCATTTCTTTTTTTGTGATGACGAATTTGTAAATAAAATACACTTTTATTTGTTATCTGGCCAATCACATTAAAAAAATTGATTAAATGAATTTTTAAAATTTAATTTTAGATAAATTACAATCATATTTTTATATTTTATATTATTAAATTTTTAAAAGAAAAAAAATATCATCTCAAATACGAGATTCTCTTAGTATCTAAAAAAAAAATCAAGTTTACAAGAAAAGAAATTCAATCTTTGAAGTCATAACACAAAGAAACTTACATTTTAATTAAAAAATTTATACATACTTTTAGGGTTTAGTGTTATTATATTTTATATTATCATTTTGATCTACCCAAAATTTAAAAAAAATTGTTGTTATTATTTTGTGTGTGTGTATATATATATATATATATTAGCTTGATTATTATAAATGAAAATATTCCAATTTAAGTCACATTTTGGTTATTTAAAAATTTTAACATCATTCATATTGAGGAGATATAAAATAATCACATGTCACTATTTTTTGTTAATTTATTATTTTTTTCATAATTGCAGATGAATGAAATCTTTTTGAATGATTGAACGAACAAAATTGAATACTTTATTCTTTCTAAATTATTAACTTTATATAATTAAATAAAAAAAAATAAGAACTAACCATTATGAGGAATATAGAGTGTGTTGAAAATGTAGTAAAGCACCACGTCAATATGTTAGATTTTTCTAATAATTACTCATTGTTTTTTAATCAGAGGTATTGATTAGATTCCTGTACCCAAGAAAAGAGATATTGAGTAGATAAGTTTATTTAATATAATGACTTAACCTGTAATCCAAACCACGATCATTACGCATGTGTAAGGAGCAAGAGTTCACAAGAAAACACAGAGTCTGATACGTTTTTGGGGCAATTTGATATTGGAATAAGGAGTGAATTTTATTTTTTTAGGATTTAATGTTTGACAAATTAAGTAAATAGAAATTATTTTTTATTGTTAATTTAACAGACAAAAATCAATGACAATAACTAATTTTTTTTACTTAAATTAAGAACTAAATTCTAACATTTGTAAATAATAATAATTAGGCATGTAAAAACTTTTATAGCCTACTTGATAATTCAAACCATGATCATTACATTTGTTAGAAGCAAAAAAAATCAGAAGAACACATAAAAAATTGCTTGGTTTCAGAAAATATTATGTTGATTTTTAATTATAATTTTGAGTGATATGCTTGGAATTGACTTATCTTTTACATCTGCAGGGAGAAAGAACACTTTTAGTCTTCTTCAAGTCTATTGTTAGATATGTATTGTTCATTCAGACTCCTCGGAGACAATCTTCAAATGGACGATCCTTCAGACAGTTTTTGAATTTTCCTAACGTTATTTATCAAAGCTAACAAAATAGATTTTATTAATCAAAGACAATCTATGTTTTCATCAAAACTTTAGGGACTACTAATATTCTATGGACAAAGTTGATTTTAATAATTATATATCTTTGTTATCACCTCTTTTCTCTCCTTTCAAATAGTGAGTTTGTAAGAAGTTAAAAAATAATAAATAAAATAGATGAAGTTTAAATGAGGATATTTAATTCAAGATATAATAAAATCATACATTAAATATTTTTTATTCATAAAGCTTTCCAAAAACTTTGTAAAAGAAAAAGACTAAGTAATAATAAAACAGCACATGGATTTGTAAGCCAACAATAAAAAACTCTGTGATTCGTTGTGGGTTTCATTTTCTTATCTATATATGTTTTGTTATTGCGACTATGTGAGACATTGATTACAAAATTCCTTAGCAAACATTGTATAGAAAAGTATAATTTAAAGGGGAATAATGGATTAGAATAAG